AGGTAGGTTGTAGGTAGGTAGGTAGGTAGGTAGGTAGAACCCAAAGGGAAATTGCAGTGTTACAGTAGCAAGACATATAACTGCACATAAACTTACATCTATTAGGCAGAAATAAAAAAACAGAAATGAGTTAAAGTATTGGACAGCTAACATTAGCTGACCTTGTTGGGCAGCTTGTCATGAGAGTAGTCATGCAGGTAACTCTGGAGGAAAACTTTGTAATCCTTTCGATTTCCATTTTCATTTGTAAAGGCAGCCACTGCTGTAATGTTTTTCCTACTATAACAACTTCCACTATGTCAAATATGTGAAAGGATCAACTGGTGGCTATAAGCTTTCTATACTTATTAGCAACATTAGCCTTGTAGCTTCTTTTAACATAAAATCCTAGTCCACTCAGACTAAAATAAAGTGGTAACTGCCGTGGAATTGTTTAGTTCTTTGAGTTCAACAGCTACAAAAGCCATGTCCAAATATTGTACTTTTTCTAGGTATTTTAAATTATTTCAAATCTGCTGCCTACCTCAGCAAGGCCAAACGGTCAGTGTGTACTAAATCCCCTTTTGAGACCCCACATCAATTTGAAAATGAAGGCCATTCTAAAAACACATCATTTGTGTGCTGCATGCTCAGTAATATGCGCTGTGCTTGGACCCCGATGATTGCCACTTACAACTAGACATTCATTTAGCTTTCACAGAATTTACCGTCCACATGTTCTGCACTACTTTTAGACGCAAACTAAAAGGAAGCTGGTTGTTTTGGTTGCTGACAATGATACTGTACACATGTTAACCCTACCACGCTCTCCGTTTGAAAGCTATCGAAGACAGAAATCTGAATATGTGAAAATGGAACCAAAAAAGGTGATTCAAAAGCTGCAGATCAGTCTGTGGCTGATTAAACACCATATATTGACTGTAAGTAAAATAAACCACCACTCCAAATGACTTGAACGAATACTTGTTTACTCAAGGTCACTGCGCTCCTGACTGCACCTCGAGCTTATTGGACTGTCCAGGACATTTTCCAGTCGGCCAGCCAGGAGGTTAAACCAGGTTGTCTTGGAAACTCGAAATATTTTTATTTCAAATTCTGGCCTAGGGCGGATTTAGTGAAGCTCTATTGATGGAATATAATGAGTTACGGCCTCGTGGCTGGAATTTCATCTACAGGCTCATTAGGGTGTGGAGCCTTAGCCTCGGAGGACAAAGAGGAGCACTTTGATAGGTTAGGCAAACGAGTCGCAAAGAGAAAGAGAGAGAAAGAGAGAAAGCGAATGAGTCAGAGGAAAAAAAGGAAAACGCACAGAGAACAGTTGTGATGATCAGTAATCGGGCCGTCTGGCGAGGCTATGCTAATGTGTGATAAGAGAATGGGGTGCCAGGACTGTGTGCGTGTGAAAAGCAGCGAGCTCCAAACAAAGAAAACAAACGAGATTCTTCTGATATTTCCATCAGTGGGTGAGCAGAAGCAGAGGAGAGCCTCATCAAGGTTCTCGCCAAGAGACCAATTTCACTTCAATCCAATTAACCGTGGAGCATCTTGGAGCAGAAATGACCATCAACAGCACTGAGATTTGATCCCTTCTCTCTAAGACAGGGCTTAGCGACCTCTGGCATGCATGCTAAAGTCAACACATGGGGCGTATTACCCTAGCATTCTGGCTGCTAACTGTTTTTCTGACTTAGCTTGACACCCTACTGGTTATTTCTTTCTTTTTCAAGCTACTATTGCTTAAAAATCTAAGTCGGGCAGTTTCCTCTCTTGCCGAGACATGCCAAGCCGAAATTTATGCTTCATGATGGCTGCCACTACTGTTTTTAGCCACAGTACTGTGCAAAAGAGACCGCCTTTATTTAACCTGCAGTCAATACAGTCATTAAGTACAAGTTTTTAAAGTGACACTTTACTCGAAGGGTGTCTATATAACACATTCATAACATCTTACATAAACATTGCATAACATGTCCATGAATATTTAGATCAACATTTATAACGTATACGTGTTTTACGTGATATTAATATGGATTATTATGTCATTTTAAGTCATTTTTTACTTTTAAAAAGTATATTATTTTCAGTAACGTCTAATTTCTGGATAGGCAAAATAAAAACGACCTCACTTTATCCCTTTGGTCATTAAGTGCTTTGACACTGAGGCAAGTTTCATGTATACTTTCGGCTTCTTTTTAAGCATTCGTTGCTTTAAACATCACTTTACTTTGTGGTCAGTAAATTAAGTAAATGTGCTATGAACAATCATTCGACCGAATCTTAGCATGAAAGTTAAAAGTATAGGCAAAATGTGCCGAAGTGTCAAAGTACTTAATGACCAAAGGGGTAAAACAAGGTGATTTTTATATTGGCCGTCCAGAAATGAGCTGTTTCACTGAAAATAATATATATATTTTTTTTTATGAAAAATTAGGACTTTTATTTTGAAAAATGTTTCTCCGCAAAATGACATAGTAGTCTGTATTAATATCACGTAAAACATGAACGCTTTATGAATTTTTATTTTAACATTCATGAACACGTTATAAAGTGTTTATGTAAGATGCTATGAATGTGTTATGTAGACACCCTTCAAATAAAGTGTTACTGTTTTTAATTTTTCAGGAGATATTTTGGAGGAGATTGAACACAAAATAACCCAAGATAATTAAAGGAAAAATAAATGAAAAAGTCTCTGGATACTGAAAAACTGGATACTGATTGGAAGTTACAGAGAAAACTCCTAACAATCACCTGAAACCCCCGGCAGACACCAAAACTCTTCCAAATCAGATAAACAGCACTTCAACGGACTGACCACTCCAGAGTCCAGACCTCAACACTGAATGTGTTTGCGATCACCTGAAAATGCTAAAGCAACTTCTAAGACTGACCTTTGGAGGTGTGTCTGCAGATTTCTTTGACAAACTGAAAGTGAGTCTCCTGAAAAGAACTGAAGACCAGATATAGACTAAACACATATTTAGTTGTTGAAGGTTTTCTTGCAATTTTCTGTTAAATTTGTATTTTCTGCTAAAAAAACATGAATAATTTGCACTAAATGGCAAATTAAATAATTAAACACTTAAATGGTGGTCTCTGGCTTTTGCTATCACCAATAAGGTGTCCCCACCATGGAAAAAAAGGAGATTTGTTTTAAAACATTTGTTTCAACAACTGTAGACCACATTTGCGCTCTATTTCATTACATAGCAGGAAAGACTTTGTGCGAAGACTTCAGACTAAATTCCCCGGCGGTGACAATGGTTCATTTTCCGCGAGCTCACTTTACCTTGACTTACAGGCTGTTCCAAACGCTGCCTGTAGAAAATGGAAAGCGCATACAATGACTTCCCGCTGTGCTACAATGTCAGATGGCAAAGTTGTTTTGAAAAGTCCTTGAGAGCTTTCAGAAGTGCATCAATGCAATCAAAACTTTCCTTGTTGTGAAGGACAAGCACTACCCAAAGCTGGAGGACATCAAGGGGCTTCAGAAGCTGCTGTTTTAGGACATGTTCACTGCAGACCTGAATGAGCACAAACTCTGGAATGCATGGAACCGGACAGTCACTGGGCCTTTATAGGCATTTCAAACACTTCAGACAGATTTGAGCACGTCAATCAAACAGTGCTACATGTAGGCTATACACAATATATATAGACTGTTTGACGGTTACAGTTACATATAGTTGTATATGCAGTCATATGCAAACGTTTGAACACCCCTGACCAAATTGCATGATTTGTTAATGAAGTAAAAATAGATATCCTCTACAGAGAACACATTTAAAAGTGTTTTTCTGCAATTTTTAGTGCACAATTTCTATTGGTTTGCTAAGTTAAACATATTGGAAAAAAATAACACCCAAAATATAAATGTGCCATAACTTTTGCACGGGACACATTCTATATTTAATGGTTTTCCCTCAATATGTTAAGTAGACTTAGCTGGAATTTAGTGGAGTAGAGTGGTCGATATGATAACAAAGGGCTTCATTCACCACTATCCTCCTCAAGTTTGTTCTTAAGTGTGTTCTTGAGAAAGGTCCTAAGAAAAAGTCTGCGTCAGATTCATGACGTGTTCTTAAAGCGCAGAACCGTTCTCACCTTTGTGCTCTTGAGTGTGTGTAGATTCTGTTCTTACCTCAGAACAAATCCCAGATACGAAAACACTGGTGAACGTCAGAATCTTCATAAAAACTGGGCAAGTCTTCTCAAGAATGGTTGGTGAATGAGGCCCATTGTTACCGAGTAATGCCATATGGCAAGAGTGTCCAATCTTATCTGGTGTGGCTGCAGGTTTTCATTCCAAACAAGCTGGAGCTCAACTGATTCTGCTTGGTTAATCAACTGGTCAGTCTTTAAACGACTGATCATGTGAGCTCCTTAATTGGCTGAATGAAAACCTGCAGCCACACCGGCCCTTTCTGGATAAGACGGGACACTCCTGCCTTATGGAATGAATATTCATAATCTTTAATAGCGTTTTAATGTGGCATTACTAGTACACTGTGTGTATTACTCCCAAAAATGAAAATGTTGTAATATTATATATCATGAAAATGTCTTTAAACGTCGCTAGTGTATTACTGTCAGAAAACAAATATTGTCATACTGTGGATCGTGAACGTCTTCAAGTACCGTTATATTTGGTTCTACTTTATTTGGATAACCCCCAGTAGTTTATCTACAGATGTTCCAATTGCTAACTGGTGAAACTCAGCAACACTTGGGTTAGGATTTGGACCAGGGCTATGGTTAGGGCCAAGGATAGGATCAGTATTACCCTTTGAGTTGAGGTTAGGGTTAGGATTAGGGCCAGGTTTAGAGCTGGTTAAAATGAAGGGGAATAATAGCCATTTAGTTGAATGTAAGTTAAATGCAAGGTCAGTCAGTGTTTAGGAGTGTAGTTTCGAGGTAGTACTGATTATCAGTAAGACCACATGTAATCCAGCATCTACTAAGAGGCTTCAGTGCAAAGCCCGGTGGTGTTTACACAATACCTTTAGATTCCACAGTGGACGACACCTCACTCTCCATCTCCTCTTCCTGCGGGAGCTCCTCCACCTTCACCTTCCGCACCTTAGACGGCCGACCAACCCTGAGACAAGATAACACAGCTTTAGTTTTAGCATTGCAGCTACGAGGCTAATGTAGATAACAAGTAATAGAAGATTCTACCCCACCGATTAGCACGGTGCTAACTGCACGTCTACATCATCACCTACTGGCCTCAAATTGTGTGAAGTTGTTCAGTATCTCTGACAGACTTGCAGACAAAACACTTAATAACTTCTCCACTACAGGTTTGATACCAGCTGATCCCACTTGAAACACAGAATAAAGCAAAACAGAAGCTGAATCTCATCTGTAGCCATTTGTTATTACGAAAAAAATTACAAATGACAGCCAAAGTGCAGCATATAGCCAAAAAATAATACAAGTCATGGCCTTGGAATGTCGAGGATTCTGCACTTCATTTCATTTCACTGTAGCCTTGGCGTTAGGAATGAAAATGATTTAACAAATTAATTTATAACTGACAAATACAGAAGAGTCTGTCTAATGCTTTTGGTTAAAAATGTATTTTCTGATAAATAATTGATATTTATGAAGGACTACAGTGCTGAGGTCGGCTACAACCGACTCTTTTTACAACGCCATGTTGCTGCTATTCAGTGTAGCCTAAAGCTACAGCCCACAAATGTGTTTGTTACCCAACATTTAGCCAGTGTAGTTAACCTATCCCGTGGCAAAGAAGCTTAAAAGCTGAAAGCGACAGATTTTATGTTGATCGCTGGGAACTATGCCTGTTTTCAGGCTCACTCCGGTCAGGCCACAAATGTGTGTTGACTTGGGTTAATAATGTGTGGGAAACGTACTTAAGTGGACTGCATTACGTTACTATCACAGCTGTTGATTGATTATTGATTGTTAACCCCTGTTCTTGGACTATTTATACATATTTATGCCAGCTGCTTCTTTGTGAAGTATTGTTCAGCCACCCTGTTCATTACTGAGCCTTTGTTACTGTGTTTGACTTCCCGGTGTGTGTTTTACGACTTTAGCCCGACCCCTTTTTGACTCTGTTTGATCTTCTGTGTTACCGACCTTTCTCACGTGTACGACTTAGTCTAGCCCTTGTTGTTTCTTATGCCTGTGTATCGACCTTCACCTGTACTGTACCACGATTTTGGATTTGCCCTCATTAAACCTTTTTATCACAGCCCGCTCTGCGCACGTCTGACTATTCCCAAAGCCGTCAGACTTTTACTGTAATTCAACAGTTTCATTAGTTCAGCTAGTCATTCAGACAGACGGCATGTTACCATTACAATAATCACAACAGTAATAATCATTAAAATAAGTGTAAACATCTGTGAAATAAAGGTGAGCATTTACGTTGTTATGATATTCTTATAAAACGGATAGTTCCAGTCCTAAAACCTGACTGGCTGAGCCGCGTTCGGAGCACCGAGTGTACTGATGAAGTAATAACCTGTTTAAACTGAGGGGCTGACGGATTATGTCCCTAACTAGAACTAGGCTAAAAGATGGCTAACAGCCTAAACAGCTCCATCATTAATATCACAGGCTTGAATTAAAGTACTTACAGTATGATTAACTTTAAAACGGCAGAATAAAAGTCTAAAAATATCACTTGAATGTCTCACACACTTCAAATGTTCATGTTTCAGTCAGAAGTTGCGTCAAACCCAGGCTGAATCCCAAACGGCTCTGTCCTCCCTAAATAGTGTTCTAGCTATGAAAGATGAGAAGTTTTAGCCTCTACAGCCAAACAGCGCATCATGTATCGAGTGTGGATGTGTCTGAATCCCAAATGACTGTTTCTTAGCTGTATTTTGCTCTGTTGTGCTGCAGGATCCAGTATTTAAATTCCTACGTAGTGCACTATGTAGGGAGCAGGGAGCTGTTTGAGATTCAGCCCCAGTGTGAGAAGAGGGGCACCGCTGGACTGGTGCTAAATAAGACTGTGGTGGTAATTTGGTGACCAAAAAGTACTTATAAAGTGAAAGATTTTGCATTAAACAGTGCTGTGATATCACATGTTCATTCTTATATGACAAAAACTTAAAAATCGTGAAATGACCGCAGTATACAGAGATGGGTGACTAAAAGTTCTCCTCGTTCGGCGGTCAACAGTTGCTTGGCAACGATACCATACTCTAAAGGAACTACTTTTCTTGGTGGAAAACTTGTTTATGTCGATTTTTATGAATAATAGCTTAAATTATTTACTGAAAAATCGTGTATTTTATCATAGTTTATGTTGGCTGCCGTTTCATGAAAGCAATAAGCCACTTGAGGCTGTGCGTTACTGCGATTTTGTCAAGGGGAGGGAGTTTTAGGCACTCTTTGCTTGTTGTGGCTTATTGCTTTAATATGCATGGTTTATTTACACCTCTTTTTTTTTCAAAAAACAAATATTGACCATTAAATTTCACAGTGAAATTACTTTTTTTACAAAAGTATTTTAAATTAATTCCATTACATGTTAGCTACATTAGCCTTGTAGCTCCAGTGTAAAACTAAGGACCAAATTTCAGACTGTAAACATGTCTTGGCTGATTGACTACAGCTGGAGTAAGCGGGAAAATTATATAAATAAGGTTTTTAAACCAAACTAGCCCCAGACCAAATCCATATAAAGCGTATTTTCTATTTGGCCAAATGACATAAAGTAATTATACACAACAAAACCACCAACATTAATTCAACACCGATCCTTTACTGTGTACTTCACCACAAATAAGATCACGAAAAACAAAGAGTCTCTGGTTTATATTATGATTCACATTACAGCTCACAGTGGAGCCTCTCAGCAGACACATCTGCACAGCCTGCATATCTGTTTATTCCAGCTTTGACTAATGCTAAACAGACTCATGGAAAGCCGCTCTGCTCTCCCGGGAGAGTACATTCTCACATCTTAATTTATTCCTGCTATTCTCCTATGCAATACTTTCCAAAGAGAAGCCTGGTGCCATGAGAGACACTAATCCTCATTCGAAAGTAATATAAAATACTCTCAGAGCATTCACGGCTATTTTTGGGACAAACGAATAACAGCTGATTAAGGAGATTAACATCTCCAGCCTGCAGAATAAACAGGATAATACCCAAACAAACCCCCCGTCCCAGACTCCGAGGAAACGGCCAATCAGCCTGGGAATAGTCGGCTTCATCTTAAATCGGGCGCTGTCCCTAAAGAGCTTATGCTTCTGCTTAAAACTCTGTTCAGAGCAGGACGTGTGTGTGGCTTCACGAGGAAAGGCCGTTTTGTGGTTTTTCAGTTTGTATGTGAAAATAAACTGAAACAGAGGAACAGAAATAAAGAAAAAATGCTAAGAAATGAACGAATGGGAATGTTTCAGCTCGACGTCTTCACTTTGTCATGTTTTTTTACACTAGTTTATTGTGTACATATGCGTAATAATGTTTACTCATCACATAAACATTCTATCCAGTATTTTCTGCTGTCTATCAGTTTGTCCACATCTGTCTAGTAAACAATATTCTATCATATTGTTTCATAATGTACCATATTATATTGTACTGCATCATATCGTTTCGCACCTTATATTATACTGTATCCGTTAATTAACCGAATATACTTTAATGTCCTTTTGGGGAAATTTGTCTTGGACTCCTAGTTCTACAAGCCACATATGTTAGTTTCATATAGTGATAAAATTGCATTGCATCACAATGTATCATATTGTACTTTATACAAGTTAGTTCCAGCCACGCGAGCTGATTGGTTGAGAAGCGTTCTAACCGTGCTGTTATTTCACCTTAACATCACGGCTTTTTCACCAACACTGTATCACTCCGCTGAGACGCCGTTGCTAAGCAACGACTCTGACAGCTGTAGGAGCCATTTGAACGTTTTTACTTCTTACTTTGCCAGAAAATGGACACTTTTAAGATCACATTTGACCGACAGCCGATTTGGACAGACTCTGAAGATGAGATGACACTAAATTCCCAAACTGTCAGTTGGTCTGTGTGGAGCTGGAGAACGAACTGCCGGCTGTGCAGCGCGTGGGCGGAGCTCGTTACTCTGACGTAGCAACAAGCTGCTCGTTAAGGAACTATAATTTGGTGAAGGAACTGCGAACATTAAAACATATTAAACGCCGCGTTCACGGCCCAGTTTATTAATTTATTACTGTATTTATTTAACTGTTGTATAAAAGCAGTAGAACACTCGAGGAGTGTGTTATCGCCAATAACATCACATATTTCGCGATAACACACTCCCTCTGTGTTCTATTGCTTAAGTATCATAGCGTATCATGTTACATTGTTTCATGCAGGATTGTAATGTGCCATAATGCATTGCATCATATTGTATCACAACGTTTCTTCCTGTATTGCATTTCATCATGACATATTGTTTCACAATATATAGTTTATTGCCGTACAATGGTTAGCGTGTTAGCTTGTGACTAATATGTTAGCTTATAGCTACTGTGTTCGCTTGGGGTTAACATCTCGGCCTATACTTAGAACATTAGTTTGGGACTAACATCTCAGCTTGTACTTAGAACATTAGCTAGGGACTAAGATCTCAGCTTGTACTTAGACTAACATCTCAGCCTATGCTTAGAACATTAGTTTGGGACTAACATCTCAGCTTGTACTTAGAACATTAGCTTGGGACTAACATCTCAGCCTATGCTTAGAACATTAGCTAGGGACTAGGATCTCAGCTTGTACTTAGACTAACATCTCAGCCTATGCTTAGAACAGTAGCTTGAGACTAACATCTCAGCTTGTACTTAGAACATTATTTTGGGACTAACATCTCAGCTTGTACTTAGAACATTATCTTGGGGCTAACATCTCAGCTTGTACTTAGAACATTAGCTTGAGACTAACATCTCAGCCTATGCTTAGAACATTAGCTTGAGACTAACATCTCAGCTTGTACTTAGAACATTAGTTTGGGACTAACATCTCAGCTTGTACCTAGAACATTAGCTTGGGACTAACATCTCAGCTTGTACTTAGAACATTAGCTTGGGGCTAACATCTCAGCCTATGCTTAGAACATTAGCTTGGGACTAACATCTCAGCTTGTACTTAGAACTTAGTTTGGGACTAACATCTCAGCTTGTACTTAGAACATTAGCTTGGGGCTAACATCTCAGCTTGTACTTAGAACATTAGCTTGGGACTAACATCTCAGCTTGTACTTAGAACATTAGCTTAGGGCTAACATCTCAGCCTATGCTTAGAACATTATCTTGGGGCTAACATCTCAGCCTATGCTTAGAACATTAGCTTGGGACTAACATCTCAGCCTATGCTTAGAAAATTAGCTTGGGACTAACATCTCAGTCTATGCTTAGAACATTAGCTTGGGGCTAACATCTCAGCCTATGCTTAGAACATTAGCTTGGGGCTAACATCTCATGGCTAGAACATTAACCTAACACATTAGGCAAGTTGGGTCAGAGCACTATAAAGCAGCTTTTGTTTAGTGTTCTATGTTCCGAAGAACCAGTATTTACAGTGGTGACTGGTCAAAATCCATTAACCTCTATTCAAAGTTTAAGATCATTTCATCCCTCTACTTCATGAAAAGTGCAGTGGTTAGACAGAGGTTTTATACTAAAAAGGAGGAAAAGAGAAGAAAGTGTGAGAAAGTAAACTGTCTGTTTTCGGCTGGAGTCACTCACAGTTTGATGAAACACAAAAAACATGAGGAAAATGTGTTTATTGTTTGTTGTTTTTACCGAAACCCTCCACTGAGTGATCATGAGTAACCGCACAGATCACTGTGGGTCTCTGCCCTCTTCATCACCACACTACAGACCATCAACAGTACGGTCCAGCATCGGGCATTACCAGCCGAGCCATGAGTCACCCAGCCCAGCAGGCGTTATGAGCCAATCTGTTTCAGAGAGTTCATCCATGTCACCAGGCATCACAAGCTGACCTCACGCTGGACATTACAAGCTGACGGGCATTATGAGCCGATCATGGAGCAGGGTTCTACAATCATCAGCAGGCATTACCAGCTGATCACTGATTCACTGGGCTCTGAGAGGCCAGCAGACATTATGAATTGATCTCAAAAACTGGGACTTTGGAGTTCGGGATGTTAGCAGACATCACAAGCTGATCTTGTAATCGAGAAACCTGATAGGGCAACAGGCATTACGAGCCGATTTCAAGAACTAGAACAGACTCTCGATAAGCCAGCAGGCATTACGAGCCGATCTTCTCACTGGAGCAGGGTTCAGGGGGAGTCAGTGAGCAGTACAAACCAATCACACGCCTGGGAGGCCAGCAGGCATGATGAGCCGATCTCAAACACTTGAAAATTAGTGTTTTAACTGGAAAGTAGCTTGGCAGATGTTAGCAGGCACTACAAGCCGATCTTCTCACTGGAGCAGGGTTCGGGAGATGTGAGCAGGCATTACAAGCCAATTTCTGATTCACAGGGCTCTGAGCGGCCAGCAGGCATAATGAGCCGATCTCAAACACTTAAAAATTAGGCTGCGTCCCAATTGTGCACTACACACTGATACTATACAGTATATACTGTGTACTAATCGTAATAGTATGAGCTTGACAGGTTAGTGCACAAAATATTATCATACTACACCGTTCTTACTAACAGGAAGTGACGAACCGTTGCTAGGACAACACACATCATAGCAAGCTAGACTCTGAAGGCTGGCTAACAAATTAACGCACATTTACAAACAAGTTTCTTACAGAAACGTGAAAAAATGAAAACATTAGTAAATATAACTCATTTATTTTTTTACAGAATGTTTTACAAATTTGGGATGAACTCATTTATACACAACTTCTGGTGCCGCTGCCACCGCAGCTGCTCTCGCGTCGCCGTCCGCCCCTTTTTCAGAATTTTCCAGACGCAAGAAGCTCCTCCCTTTCCGTTTCCCGTTGGATTGTGGGACAATAGTATCCATCATTACTACACTCAAAAATCGACTGGTTCTAAGTCTGCATAGTGGATCTTTGAGTATACTCAACTTTGACACTGACTATACTACACACTACATACTCAAACACTAGTTAGTATTAGTGTTAAGTGTGCAACTGGGACGCAGCGTTAGTCCTGACAGGCATGACAGTTAACTGGAAGGTAGCTCTGCAGATGTTAGCAGGCATTACAAGCCGATTTCTGATTCACTGGGCTCTGAGAGATCAACAGACATTACAGGTGGATCTGAAGAACCGGAACTTTGGAGGTCAGCAGACATTAAAAGCCAATTTTATGACTGGAACAGAAACCTGACAGGCCAACAGGCATCACAAGCTTCTCTGAAAGTACAGGAGAATACTGGTCAACAGGCATTACCAGCCGATCTTCTCTCTGGAGCAGAGTTTGGGAGATATTGCCAACCACTACAAACCAATCACAGGTCTCAGAGAGGCCAGCAGGCATAATGAGCCGATCTCAAACACTGGAACGTTAATCCTGACAGATGAACAGGCATTACGAGTTGATCTTATAATTGGAGCAGAGCTCTGGAGATGTCAGCAGGCATTACAAGCCAATTTCTGATCCGCAGGGCTCTGAGAGGCCAGCAGGCATTACGAGTCAGCCTCTGATTAATGGAATTTGGAAAAAGTCTGGCAGGCACTACTAAACGATGAACAGCTCGTGACTGCAGTCCATAGATATGCATATCTAGACACCGCATTGGGTCCAGCCAGGCACATCAACGGCGCCGCCATTTTAGGGAGGTCAACATCGCTGCTGGACTGCATTCAGAACCATTACCGAGCGGCAGTTTAAGAAAGATACTGTCCAAAATTACACTATTTCAGGAATATTACTCTCAGAAAGTGGGATAGGATTATATAACAGAGGGAACGCAGTGATCCACACTCATGTCTGTGTGGTGTTTATGTGTAGATATGGCCGAGTGGTTGGTGAAGCACAGAGAACCTGTTGATGTGATTGTTTTTCCTCTGGTTTTATATTAAGCTTTTTTCATTTAATAGTCTATTCAGGGGGTCTTAGCTTTATGTAGCAGTTATTTATTTACAGTGATGGTTAAAGCTTTGTAGCTCGGTAAGTTATAGCATTCCTTAATCCGTGTAGATATTCATAATAGATTAACGTCAGAACCTTATTTCACGAACCTGAAGTCAGCTTCTTATTTGCCAGCTTCTTGTTCAAATGTTCCCGTTCCACCTTAAATGGTGCAGCTTCAGGCAGTGACAGCTGCACTATTTAAGGTGGAACGGGAAAACTCGAACAAGCAGCTGTTGAATTGGAAGGCTTTAGCTCCGTCCTTCTTACTGTGTTTTGGGGGGTTTATTTTATTTCTATGTGCATTAAGATTAGAAGTGATTCACTCACTGATGGATCTGCTGATGTGTTTGATTGTGTTTCTCGCGCTAAACTCGGTTTTTAGCGTCAGGTGCAGACTGAATACTTTCCTGCTGGTCTGGACGGCTAATTATCACGATCAGTTATTAAAGTAATAAAGCTACCGAGAGCAGATCCGTGCAGCCTGGATTAATCTGTGTCTGAGGATTATAACAAAACAAACGTGGTGAAAATCGGATGAGTAATAAGGAAGTTGTGGCTGATTTAATCCTGAGACTCTTCGTCTCTCAATACCAGAGAATCTGTTCACAAGCGGATCTTGACCTCTCCAACATGGCGGACGCTCAGACGCGTCGCCTCAGATAGAGAACAGCAGGCAATCTAGGTAAGTATATCTATGCTGCAGCCCCTCTGTTGGTATACAACTTGTGAGCCATCCAGCTCTTCAGGTTCTCATCACAGAGCTGCTGTCTTACAGTCCTTTACCTTCTCTTCGTCTCCGTACCGACAGGCTTCTTATGCGGCGTTTCCATGGTGCCGGTTGCCGTGTTGGGCTTGTCCGGGAGCGAGGGTGCGGAGGAGACGGGCATACTGAAAACAAAGGAATAAAAAAAGAGAAAGAAAATAAACAGAAGTGCTGAATGAAGGACTCTTAGCTCGTCCATCATTTGAAGCAGGTGACATATCGACGTGCTCACGCGCTCGCTAACGACCTTTAGCGTGGCTGAGGGCAGAAAAAGCGCCACCAATCAGGCCAAAGCACCTGCTAGCTCTGGCTTTAGCATGCTAATTTCCGCACCCCACGAGGCCCTGGCGAATACTGATACTGTTCAAACAGCTCAGTGTTTCTGGCTGAATAAATACATTTAAAATGACATACATGGTAATTGAAGACATCAAACACGGACACAAAATAAAGCGAGCGCTGTGTAACGTTGCCCTCAGCGCCTGTGCGATGAGAATAACATTAGCACAGCTAGCATAATAAGAAAAATGCAGCGCAGATAACGGCGCCTGTGAGGACTACTAATAAGAGCACATCTCGCTGGCTGGATCAAAGACTTTCATTAACATTCCCAGCATTCCTGTTGCATTATAGAAGAAAATAATATCACAGAGGGAGAAGAAAACGCCAGCCGAGCTGCCAGCAAGGCAAGCGGAGCCAGACGAGGAACGGCCTCCAAACTGCCCACTCTCAGTGGCTGTGAACTGGGGGTGTGAGGGTGTCGGTACAGTTTTGTCCTTCGCTGCCAATTTTCTCCTCATCTAAGCAAAGAAGATTCTGGACTTGCATCTCAGATGCCTGCATTTGTTTACTATACATACACAAAATATTGAGAATTAATGACTTTACTGTGGAGAAACCGACATGTTCCAGTCACAAAATGGGTTTTTACCTTTTACTGAGCTCTTCTCTCTCTTATAATCTTAAAGCTTAAAATCTGCCCCTGCTGTATGTTTATCCTCGACCAGCCAATCACAGCTCTTTGCGCTCAAAATCTCACCCAGAATCCACACTGTCTGGCCAGTTTATCAGAAACTCCTCAGAGTCGCTCTATCCTGGAGATTTTTGACCCAGGGGCGTCACTGGCCCCCTTTAGGCCAACGCCCCAGTAAAATGCTGCTGTGCTACACTATAATAACGGAAAACAGTCAATATGTAAGCTTTAAACTTTCTTCCGTCTGTTGGGCCAAATTACACAACACAAACATGACCATGCAGTTCACTACAGACACTACATTTCCCATAGTGCCCAGCGTCTTTCACATCAGATGCTTAATAGGCACTTTTCACATTTCAGCCTTTTTTCTGCTGGACGTTCTCGTTGCAGGTGACGCTGTTTCCGATAAAGCAATAACAATGATGACAACTCGAGTGTTTGAGCTTAAAGCAAAAACAGCCTCATCTCAGTTTCAGTGGTTTGTCAGCTGAGCTTAAACAGAGGGAAACAGGTTTGGTCATTTAACAAATGAATAAACTTTGACATATGGAGTAAAAGAACCGCTGTGTCAGCATTTCAGCACTGCTAACGTTACACTGAATGCAGCTTGTGCTTTAAAGTTGCTGCTGCAGCCGCTTTCAGAGGAACAGTTTTCATTTCCTCCCTCTAAAGCTGTCGGTATCTGAGAGAGCGAGTGCTCGGCGGAGAGCGGATGTCCGTTCACTGGAGCCGGTGTTTGTGGAAAACATCTACGGTGATGCTACGGACCATGACGACCCAGTGTGCCCCCTGCTGGTGCGTGTGCGTGTGAGCTTTTTGCCGACTAGTTTATTGTTAGCGAGCTGTTTCAGCGTCTCCAGCTAACATGGCTAATCTCTTCGGTTATAGTTATTTTCACCTGTCCATCATTTTATCACTTTGAAGATGTTAGGTAGATGACATTTAAGCAGAAGAACACAGAGGGAGTGTGTTATTGTGAAATAACATCACGGCTGTGATTCGGTCGCCGTAGATCATCACAGCCGTGATGTTATTGGCGATAACACACTCCTCGAGTGTTCTATTGCTTTTATACAACAGTTAAATAAATACAGTAGTAAATTAATAAACTGGGCCGTGAACGCGGCGTTTAATATGTTTTAATGTTCGCAGTTCCTTCACCAAATTATAGTTCCTTAACGAGCAGCTTGTTGCTACGTCAGAGTAACGAGCTCCGCCCACTCGCTGCTCAGCCGGCAGTTCGTTCTCCAGCTCCACTCAGACCAACTGACAGTTTGGGAATTTAGTGTTGTCTCATCTTCAGAGTCTGACCAAATCGGCTGTCGGTCAAATGTGATCTTAAAAGTGTCCATTTTCTGTTTGTGGCAAAGTAAGAAGTAAAAACGTTCAAATGTCTTGAGCGTCTCCTACAGCTGTCAAAGTCGTTGCTTAGCAACGGCGTCTCAGCGGAGTGATACAGTGTTTGTGAAAAACCATTTTGCCATAACAGCACAGTCAGAACGCTTCTCAACCAATCAGCTTGCTTGGCCGGAACTAACTGTTGTATAATACTCAGTTATGAAATCGTTAAACGGAATCATCTATATTGTGGTGCTGTAAGGTAGCATTGCTTTTAAGGTGGTGATTCAACTACAGTGATTTTACAATATTAAATCGAGTTCGAATAAATTCGAATATAATTATTATTAGAATATTTACTCATTAAAGTTTTCTGTCTGGTTTCAATCATAAAAATCTAAAACAAGGAAAAAAGTTTGCTGTATTGTATTTAATTGTCTTATTGAAAGCTTATTTGTGTAGTTAATATATTTTAAAAATTATTCTAAATTATACAACAATTACTGAATCAAATCGGACCCTAAAAACTGTAATCATATCGCTTTATTGTGTGGTGAGATATTTACAACTGTATTTACAATATCGCTGAGGAGAAAACCTCGTTTTATCATCTCCAAAATGGAAACTTTACAGGAAAAGGAAAAAAACCTACTTTACTTTTAACGTAAGTCAATGGAACCAGACTTTTTTCCAAGCCATTTTGGGCCGTTTCTATTGGTCCATTACACAATATAAAGGACATCTGGCATTTTCACATTATGTCAAAAACTGAAAAACAACCAAAATGGAGATACGAGGTTTTCTTCCGACAGCAGCGATATATTCTATTTAGACTCGTTACATTAACATCATATTGCAATGTATTTTATTTTAGTTGGGAGTGTTCGAGTGTGAAGGAGGCACAAATGTGCATTGAGAAGTCACTGATATACAGCACACTCTGCTACACGCGTAGGTGTTTAGTTCAGAGTATAACGCACCGTCCTGTAAAATGACGAGCACTAAATAAGCTTTTAACCACCTCACTCTATGTAGCTGATTTCAACCTGGTGATTAAACTGTGCACATCACAGCAGCGAGTGACTCTTAACCTTAAAACCTCAATCAGGAACTCCTGCTGCCGACAAGCCGGCTTCTCAGAAAGGGAGCCATTCAGGAAATTCACTGATGTGTTTATTTGTGAACAGCTTGTCTTGTCTCTATAGAGCACTGACCAATAGAAAGGATGATCTGGAGAAGCTGCATACGAGCCTAAGATCACCGTGCCAGTGCCAAGTCTGGGCTAGAGGGGTTTAAAGCCCCCCAGCATTGGGCTCAGGAACAGTGGAACTGTGTTCTCTGGAGTGATGGAGCTCCATCCAATACCTTTGGGTAGGACTGGAAAATTAACCGTTTTATATCAAAATCGCGACTTAAGACAATTTTTTTAATAATCGCCTACAAGATTTAAAAAAAAGATAGTTCTTTAGTAAAGACAATCATTCTACATAGAACCAGGAACACTCAACAACCCAGTTTCATGCTTAAATGGTTCTTTGCATGGTGAAATTGTTCTTCGGATTGATGGAGAAGGTGTTGTGTATGGTTCTATACAGCACCAAATAGTGTTCTGTTATTGTTGCGATGTGAAGCTTGTAACAATACAAGAACATTCTGGTGCTACATAGAACCCTTTTCAAACAGGTGCTATATAGAACCATCTACAACACAGGTGCTATATAGAACCATCTACAACACAGTCCATTAACTAAAGAACCATTTCACCATGAAAAGAACTTTTTAAGCCATTATCTTTACTAAAGAACCCTTGAAGAACCATCTTTATTAAGTGTGACCAAACCTCCATGTGTTGTGACAACACAACCACAGCTTACTGGCAGTTTGGCACACTATGTTCAGGGTTCGAGCCTCGAGACAAAAAAGAGGGATATTCTGGTCTTCTTGGCCAAAATAAATCAGGCCTTATAGAAAACAACCGCGATTCAAATTGCACAGCCCTACCTTTGGGATGAGTTGGAGTGACCATCCAACATCAGCAGCTGACCTCACTAATGCTCAATCAAATCAAGTCAAGTCAAGTCAAAGTTTATTTATATGGCACTTTTTACAACAGGTGTTATCACAAAGCAGCTTTACAGAAAAATCCGGGTCCGAGCCCCCATGAGCGTCGCCAATGGCGACAGTGGCAAGGAAAAACTCCCTAAGAGCAAGAGGAAGAAACACTGAGAGGAACCAAGACTCAGAAGGGGAACCCATCCTCCTCTGGTCGACTCCGGACAGCAAACAGCATTAATATAAAATATTAGAATACAAAACGGGGAAAAACAGGCGGATTAGATTAGTTTTAGTTTGTGCAGCAGCAGCATCATCAGGAGGGTCAGTTCAAATCCTCACAGCAATGTTCCAACATCTAGTGTACAGAGTTGAGGCTGTTACTGCAGCAAAGGAGGTCAAACTCACTACATATACCCTTCATTTCAGGAGAGATGCTGGAGGAGCAGGTGTCTATGCCCGAACTGAGATTGCAGTGCTAATCAACATGCTCCACTGTCACAGCGCTGAGAAGTGGGTGATAATGAAGCAGTGCTTTCCTGGATTTCAGAGCATGAAGCAAGCAAGGAGAATTCATCAGCATGCAGGTCAACACAAAATCTCCTCAGAATTACAGGATTCGAGAAGGCCAGCTGCCCATTACAGCGTGTTCGAAAATCACGATGAATGAACCAGCAGAAATGGTCCCAAATTACCTGCTCCATTAACCTCCATTCAGAGTTAAGGTTCTTTCCTTCCTCCTGAAAAGCTGCTGTTTTGGAACTTCGTACAACTTTATAGGAGAATTTGAACAGGGGTGTTCAAACTTTTGCTCATTTACATATATACACTCTTAAAAAACGATGTTCTTCGAGGATTCTTTAGTAAATAAATGTTTCTATGCAGAACCATGAACACTCAAAGAACATGGTTAAATGTTTCTTTGCATCATTAAATGGTTCTTCAGATTGATGGAGAACGTGCTGTAGTTGGTTATATATAGAACCTTTTTGAAAAGGGTTCTGTATAGCAACAAAAAGGGTTCTTCTGTTGTTATACACTCTTAAAAAAAGACGTTCAAGTGTTCTTTAGTAAATAAATGGTTCTATGCAGAACCATGAACACTCAAAGAACATGGTTAAATGTTTCTTTGCATCATTAAATGGTTCTTCAGATTGATGGAGAACATGCTGTAGTTGGTTATATATAGAACCTTTTTGAAAAGGGTTCTGTATAGCATCAAAAAGGGTTCTTCTATTGTTATACACTCTTAAAAAAAGTTGTTCTTCAAGGGTTCTTTAGTAAAGAAATGGATCTACATAGAAGCATCAACACTCAAAGAACCCTTTGCATGATTAAAGGGTTCTTCACGTGGTGAAATGGTCCATCGGATTGACGGAGAATGTGCTGTAGATTGTTCTATGTAGAACTTTCTGTAAAGGGTTCTATGTCACACCAAACAGGGTCCTTGTATCATTACAAGCTTGATATCGTTACAGTAGAAGACCCTTTTTGGTGCTACACAGATTCATTTTCAAAAAGGTTCTATATAGTTTCTTGTTTGCAGTTAGTCCAAAATCTCACGGGCACGAAAAAGAGGGACCACATCACTCCAATTGTGTCATCCTTACGCCGGCTCCCTGTTTACTACAGGATCCAAATCAAAATTATTTTATTTTTAAAGTTAATAAGTCATTAAATAGAGCGGCACCGTCCTATACAGGAGATCTGCTTCAGCTCTGTCCTGCCTCCAGGTCCCTGAGGTCATCAGATCAGCTGCTACTGACTGTGCCACGGTCTCGGCTGAAACTCAAGGTGACCGGGCCTTTGCCGAGGCGGCGCCGAGGCTGTGGAACAGTCTACCCCTGGACATTAGGTCTGCATCCTCCGTTGATGCTTTTAAGTCTAGATTAAAAACCTATTTTTATCGATCAGCCTTTGTCTCTGTAAACTGATCGCTGCTGTATTTTTGTTTTGTACATTAGATGTTGTCCTGTATTGTCCTTTTAAATGTATTGTACAGCACTTAAGGTTAAAATGTGCTTCATACATAAATACTAACTTAATTACTTACTATAGAGCCATTACAACACGTTTTCCATCACTCTAAAGGACCGTTTCACCATTGTCACGCTTCCCGGCTCTCAGTCTAACCACCTTACGAACTCCAATTCCCAAGATTCCTATGTTGTCATGTGAATCATCCAGCCAATCACTCGTCAATCTGCGGAGTCACTGGAGTGCTAATTGTTTACACTTGTTTCCCCCTGTAAATATACATATATATGTGTATATATATATATATATATATATACATATATATATATATATATGTATACACACATACATGTCGTTGGTCTTGTGTCAGTGTGTACTGAGCCGTTCTCTTGTTTATCTGGATATGCTGACCCTGTTTTGTCGTTGTTGAGTCTCAGATTTACCCCTTTGGCTCAGGTGGCCTGTTGCCTCGCTCTCTGGTTTAGACCCTTGCCTGTTAATCCACTTCGCCTTTTGCCTGACCCTTTATTTCGTGTTTTGCTGTACTGGTTTTTGACCTGGTCTGGTGTAAACCCTGCTCTGTTCGATAATCTTCCTTTATTTTATATCCATGACTGTCTGGTTCCCAGCATTACAACCATGCAAAGAACCACTTAATCAAGGGTTCTTTGAGTGTTCATGGTTCTATATAGACCCATTTCCTTTACTACACTCTTAGCAAAAAGGGTTCTATACAGTTCCAAAAAAAGGTTTTCTGAAGACACATTTCAGACTTTTAACCCTTTAAAAACCCAAGCTAATTACATATTAAGGCCCATGTGTCAAACACCAGACCCGTGGGCCAGATCAGGCCCGCGACACAATCCTATCCGGCCCGCAAACGTATTTTAATTTTCTAAAAATCTTAACTCGTTTCACAATACACTACACTACAGTCCCCAGCATGCACTGCAACGTAATGTGCTCTCTGACTCTCCTCCCCCAACAACAGTCTATGGGACAGCAGTTGCACCTCAATTCTACACAATTCCACACCAGTCATATCACCAAACACACTAACTGCATTTCAGCCAGTATAAACACTGAACATCAGCTCAGCAGCTCAGAAACTGAGCCCAATATTAATGAACGTGCAGCAAAGAAAGAACGCCAGGTGTCTAATTAAAGCAAACAGGTAGGTTTAAAAGACTGAGCACCTGGGGATATTTCAATTTTGGATATTTCAAGTGTCCATGCAATATTTCAAGGTCTACTACAAGTGCCTGTATTTTACTGCTGAGGTTTTTTGCGTATTTTGAATAAACAACGGCCAGTTTGGGTTACAGCACAACATTATTAAATATGAAATAAAAACATTTTTTTTCTTTGGCCCACAGATTTGTTGAGATTTTTTTATTTGGCCCCTTTAGTGGTTGAGTTTAACACCCCTGTACTAAGGCTTATTATCCAGTAACCACAGGGACTTCAGTGCAAACTGGCTGAGCTATTCTTAGGTGTGGAAGGTGGGTCCTGGCCATTTAAGGGGTTAAATCCATCTGGCACAGCAATGCACCACAACCTGTCCCTTTTGTTTTCAATCTGAACTGTCAGTTCTGTCCGATATGGCTGCAAGGTGCTTGATGGGTCTGGGGCGCTGGGTTTTGGGGGATGTGGAGCGTCGAAAAAGCTCAGCGGAGCTAAACTTTGTGCAAATAAATCTGGCCAACATAATCACACTACTTAATCAGGAGGCAGGTGGCGCTGGCATCATTCTGCAGTTCTGTCTGCAGTTCAGTGTATGAGACGCTTCTCAAACGTTCCCATGTGATATAGAAGCACAACAGCTCATATATTTAAACATCTCTGTTTAAAAATATAAATCCAAGCTGGAAGACTAAACTGAAATGACCGATGTTGACCGCAAGGGGAAATCGATGACCTAAAGCCTGATCTGTTCAAGTGTAACCTTTTGGAAAATATTAGTTTAATGAAGCACACTGCATTGCCTTTGTGATTATCTGAAAAAGCAAAAGCATTAATTACATGAATATTGATTAGCAAGACTACATTTTGATTGAATTTTGCATGGAACGCCTTCATAACACTGCATACAGCCAGCTGAAGAGGGAGGATGTGTTCAGGTCAATCAACACACCACAGCAGTGTAAATGTAGTCGATCAGCTACGACAGGTTTGGTGTCTAAAGTAGATAACAAGTAATGGAAGCTGAGTTTTGTCTGCATTTGTCCATTTTTAGGACAAACCGTTACAATTAGCTCCAGTGCAAAACTAAAGATCCAAATCTCAGACATTGTAATGGGATTTATCACCGAATTCCTTTCAAGTGAAATACTCACTCCTGAGCGCTGGTGTCTACGTGAGGGTTTGGTTCCCGGCGCAGTCGGCCCACTCCAGAGCCCGGCATCTCACCACTGAGACGGTCGGGCAGAACTGAGTCCTTGTTCATGTTGATTTCGGAGTACGGACAGCCAACGGCACTGGAAACGCACACACATTAGAGAACAGCATCGTATAACAATGATGCAAACACAGTTAACAGTTATTATAATATAGCTATAACTACAGTTATAGCTATATTATAATACAACACAGTATCAGAAAAAACACAGACAGAATTAACAGTGTAAAAGTGCAGAAATGAGGTACACTGTACTTCCACCCACTGGCCACTTTATTAGAAACACCTACCTTGTGTTTCCACTCACTGGCCACTTTATTAGAAACACCTACCTTGTGTTTCTACTCACTGGCCACTTTATTAGAAACACCTACCTTGTACTTCTGGTCACTTTATTAGAAACACCTACCTTGTACTTCCACTCACTGGCCACTTTATTAGAAACACCTACCTTGTGTATCAGATCACTGGCCACTTTATTAGAAACACCAACTTGTGCTTCCACTCACTGGCCACTTTATTAGAAACACCTACCTTGTACTTCTAGTCACTTTATTAGAAACACCAACTTGTGCATCCATTCGCTGGCCTCTTTATTAGAAACACCCACCTTGTGCTTCCACTTGCTGGCCACTTTATTAGAAATACCCACCTTGTGCTTCATTGAATTTGAAAAGCGGGTGAGTTTGTGGAACCCAGAGGGTTAAACAAGTAAAGAATACTCAATGAGCAGATTCACCATGGCAACCTGAACATGGCTGCATGTCAGTGTCAGTCGCGCATCATCACCGACTACACCGGCTCAGCTACGAGGAACAGGACCACACATTTCGGTCTCTGTGTAACTCAGACGTTACTGCAGAGTTTTACTGTCTTCACTGTTATTCTTAAACAGTGTGAAATAAAGGAGTGTGGTGTACAGGTGAGGTTTCCTTTGAAGAAAGAACAAAAACAGAATCCAGAATTGTGTTTACCTTCACACACTGCCTACAGGTAAACACATATTCAAATGTCCTTTAAAGCGTTATCTACTCTGGGTGCTGTACTTTCCTCCACCTGTCTGACTCACACTGTCTCCAGCTCAGTTTCACTCTAATCCGCTCACTGTGATGCTGCACTGAACACTGCAGTTTGGATTATGAGTTTCAGTATAATAAGATGAGAGAGAGACAGAGACACAGAGAGAGAGAGAGAGAGAGAAAGAGAAAGACACAGAGAGAAACAGATGGAAAGAGAAAGAAAAAAAGAGAGAAAGAAAGAAAGAAAGAAAGAAAACAAGAGATTGAAAGAGAAAGAAAGAGAGAGAGAGAGAGAGAAAAGATAGTGGAAGAGAAAAAGAAAAAGAAAAATACACAGAGAATGAGATGGAAGGGGGAGACAGAGAGAGAAATAGAGAGAAAGAGAGACCGGCAGAGTAAGACAGAAAGAGAGAAAAAGACAGAGAAAGAAAGAGAAATACAAATAGAGAAAAAGAGAGAGAAAATGACAGAAAGAAAGAGAGAGAGAGAAAGAGAAAGGGGGGGGGGTAGCGTGTTTGTGTTGGTGGAGCCCAACTTATAAGAAAGCTCATTAGAAAGAAGGGCGTATTCTGTTCATTCCCCCCAGAGAGAGAGAAGAAGAGGGAGAAGAAGGACGAGTATTTTCACAAACAGATGGACATTAGCATATAAATAGGAGCGGGCAGTGCTGTCACTCAGGACGAGCAGCAGAGTGAAGAAAGGACAAACGGAAAGTACAAAAAATTCTACCTTTCTCACACAAACACCTTCAGCCTCTCTCTCTCTCTCTCTCTCTCTCTCTCCTCTCTCTCTCTCTCAGCCCAGTTTCCCTAAAGCGTCCTGGTGTTTAAAATGATCTTATCTAGTAGAGAGAGAGGGTTCAATATGATGCTCTCTCTACCATTTTAAACTCAACCCAGCCCTGAACAACAACAGTCTCCATCATGTTTATCGTAAACTAGGATCTATAACACAGGCCTGCTGTCCACTGCAGACTGGCCACAGACCGCAGGATACACTCCACACATTTCAATGTTTACACAATTTCCATAACTATGCTACACCAGGGCTGCCCAATCATGCTCCTGCTCCTGGAGACCGACCCAGATCCAACACACCTGCACTGAAATTCAGATGCCAATGAAGACCTTCATTACCTGGATCAGGTGTGCTAGACTAGGGTTGGAGCTGAACTCTGCAGGGTGGTAGATTTCCGGGACCAGGATTGAGCAGCCCTGTGCTACACCCATTTTCATGGTTACACCACACCCATTTCCATAGTTACACTACACCCATTTTCATGGTTACACCACACCCATTTACACAGTTACACCACACCCATTTACACAGTTACACCACACCCATTTACACAGTTACACCACACCCATTTACATAGTTACTCTACACCCATTTACATAGTTAGACTACACCCATTTACATAGTTATACCACACCCATTTTCATAGCTACACTACACCCATTTTCATGGTTACACCACACCCATTTCCATAGTTACACTACACCCATTTCCACGGTTACACTACACCCATTTCCACAGTTACGCTACACCCATTTCCATAGTTACGCTACACCCATTTCCATAGTTACGCTACACCCATTTCCATAGTTACGCTACACCATTTCCATGTTTACCCTAGACTCAATTCCATGGTTACACTGCTCTAGTTTCCATAGTTACACTATACCCATTTCCATGGTTACGCTACACCCATTTCCATGGTTATGCTGCTCCAGGTTCCTTAGTTACAGTACACCATTTCCATAGTTACACAACACCCATTTCCATGAGCAATATTAATCACATAAATTGTGTAGCTGGACCGTTTAACTGGTTTTGTGTTCAGGATTTTTTATTTTAAAATTATAACAGTTATCAATACTAAAGTAGCATCAGTGGTTCTCCCAGCCTAACTTTATTTGGCTAAGATATGTATGTGGGGGTTTTAGAGAGTAACTCAGAAGCAAAGTAATGAGTAGTGATGTTACTTTTTACAGACAGTAATGAGTAAAGTAATCCCAGTACAGTCTGAGAGATGTAATTAGTAATATTCAATGGATTTGAGTTCAGCGTTTCATTCAACTCACTGTCCTGATGTACGAATGCCCACCTGTGATGTCCAGAGTAGCGAGCTCCTTTGATGTGTCCGACTCCTTTGCAGCCCGGTGTAGGACAGCCCACCTCTGATGACTCAAACATGTCCTGTGGACCTGCAGAGAGCAAACACAGTGACCTGTGACTGACCTGCAGAGAGCAAACACAGTGACCTGTGACCTTTAGAACTTACAGCTACTGCTGATGCCAACAAAGGCATGCTATAATTTTATATGAATTATGAATTATTTCTCACTCGTAGAGAAGAGTGAGTAGAGGGTAGATCACTCGATCCCAGAGCATGACTGAAGTTACTCTAACAGATTCATCCTAACATTTTACCCATCATACAGCCATACAGAGTATGCAAAAGTTTGTGCACCCCGATCAAATTCCATTTTGTTGTTGATTTTGTAAATAAGTGAATACCAACTACAGAGACACACAATTACTGTGGCTGATCCACTCACACCAGCACAACACCACCATAAATACACCACCACCACAACAGTGGTCCTGCGGGGGGTCCTGACCACTGAAGAACAAGGTAACAAAGTATGCAGAGAAACCGATGGACTACAGTCTGTAACTGTAGAGCTACAAAGAGCTCCTATACGGTCAGTGGAGTTGATCAAATGGACAGCGGGGGTAAAAACAAAGCACCTAACAAAGTGCTGAGGGAGTGTATATTCAAATTCCTCATTTCGTCAAACATGTAGTCGGTTTCAGCTTCGCTCCAAAAGTGTTTGGGGGTGCTGTGTTAAACACTGCTTGCCGTTTCTGGGACGAGCGCTTTGTTTTTCGCACATGTGCAGACCGAGAGTCACGAAAGAAACCAGAGTGAGGGTAAAATCCAGCTCTCTTAATTGGATTTCTGGAAATCCGATAACAGCCTTAATCCGATCTTAGAAATCAGGGAATGCTGTTTACACGACCACTTGAATAATTAGATACCTGCTGAAATCTGATAATGATAGTATCCCCGAGTATGTTTACATGCACTTAATAATCCAATCATAATCAGATTTCTGAAGTTATCTGATTATTCAAATGGTCATGTAAACAGCACACTCAGATTTCTTAGATGGGAGCATGGTCTAGAAATCTGATTAAGAAATCTGATAAAGAGGCTGGATTTTAGCTCAGTAACAAGATTTCTCAGTGCTGTGAACTCTTACTCTGATTTCTTTCGGATTTCTCCGTCTGAGCATGTGTGAAAACAGACCGCGGTACTGGAAATAAGTGAGCAGCGTCGCTGCGAGACGCAGCAAAACACTTTTGGAGCGATGCTGAAACCAAATGCATGCTTGACAAAATAAAGGATTTAAATATTCTTCATCTTCTAGATGATGTTTGTTCAAATTTTCAGGTAAAGTGACTCGGTGTTTTGAAAAAGTTTGGGTTTCCGTTACATTTACGTCGCGTCTTCTTCTGTGAGTTTATTGGCTAGTTCCAAAGCCGAAATCTGATTACTGTCTGACTCACGTATACCCGGAGTTTCCCCATTATCTGATTACTCAAGCGCATGTAAACACGTTGATCGGATTACTGACAAAATCGCTGACCTCTTTCATTGATCCATTACTTCAGTGTAATAATTGAAAACTAAGAGCATAATCAGACAAACAGACTACTGTGCTAGACAGATACAGAATCTGTAAAATGAATGTATATGAGGCTTTCTGAGCTCAATTAGCAACACACATACTGCTCTCACTGACTCTCTCTCTCTCTCTCTCTCTCCCTGGCTGTCCCTGTCCTTTTCTCTTTTCTTCTTTCTCTAACCCTCTCCTTTTTTCTTTCTTCCCCCCAACAAGCAAGATTCCACACTCTTTGCTCCTGTGCCGCTACACGTTACCATGGAGACGGAAACGGAGGGAGCGCAGGGAGAGAAATTAGCAGGACGAGTGTGTGTGGGAAAGTTCATTGTTCCGCCACACACACACACACACACACACACACACACCCCCACACACACCACACACCACACAAAGACAGACACAATATCACCATCATCCTCCTTTCAAACCCTCACTTCCTCTTTCTCCTTTCCCTCTCTCCTTATTTCTTTCCATTGTTTACTTCCCTTTAGTTCTGTCTCTTCTTCCTCCTCTCGCTGTTATTTCTCTCTCCCTTCACATCTTTCTCTTTTTCTGCTTCTCCTTCTCTTTCAGTCTGTCTCTGTCTTCCTCCCTCTCTCTCTGTTCCTCCCTCTCTCTCTCTCTGTGTACTTCTTCCTCTTTTTCCTTTCTTCCACTCTTCTTCTTTTATTGTCTGCTGTACGCATGACGTGGCTGGTACAGTGTAGTGGGTAACTCCTCCTAGGCACCCTGTACACCCTACACTGTATAATATAATAAGGGTGCTTGGGCAAAACACCTAACACTCTCTTCACACTCCCTGCGCCCACCTGCGTGAGAAATGATCAAACTGTAAGTCGTCTGGATAAGAGTCTCTGCCAAATGCAGTAAAAGTATAAGTAAATAGTTTAATTAGCTGTACAGTGTAATGAGGTTTCCTCCCACAGTCCGAAGACGTGTGTGTGTGTGTGTGTGTGTGTGTGGCTGCCCTGTGATGGACTGGTGACCTGTCCAGGTTTCCTGCCTTCCACCTAGTGAGCGCTAGGATAGGCTCCAGCACCCCCCGTGACCCAGGAGGATAAGCGGCTTAGATGATGAGTGAGTGAGCAAGAGTGTAATGAGGTGCAGTGTAATACTGTGTATAATGCAATACTGTGTACAGTGTAACAATGTGTACAGTGTTATATTATGTACAGCGTAATATCATGTACAGTGTGATAAGGTGTACTGTGTAATACTGTGTACAATGTATTAAGGCGTACAGTGTAATACTTGTACAGTGTAACATTGTGCATAGTGTAACAAGATGTACAGTGTAATACTGTGCGCAGTGTAATACTGTGTACAGTATAATATTGTGTACAGTGTTATACAGTGTACAGTGTAATACAGTGTACAGTGTATTAAGGTGTACAGTGTAATACTGTGTACAGTGTAATAAGGTGTACAGTGTTACACTGTGTACAGTATTATATGGTGTACAGTATAATATTGTGTACAGTGTTATACAGTGTACAGTGTAACACAGTGTACAGTGTAATAAGGTGTACAGTGTTACACTGTGTACAGTATTATATGGTGTACAGTATAATATTGTGTACAGTGTTATACAGTGTACAGTATAACATGGTGTACAGTGTAATACTGTGTATAATGTATTAAGGTGTACAGTGTAATACTGTGTAAAGTGTTATACAGTGTACAGTGTAACAAGGCATACAGTGTAATAGGGTGTTGTGTGAAATTCTGTGTGACTCACTGATGGGGGGCTGGAGAGGGTGTCCTGTTTTGGTGCACCACCCAGCGGGATGGATATCAGGGCTGTCTGTGTCCACCCAGTAATCATATTCATCTGTCCAGCCATCGAAATGGATCTGAAAAGATATTCAGAATACAAACCGGTCACACTCTACACTACGCATTCAGTCTCACTACACAAATATATGCACGGTGTGTTCTTTCTACTGCTACAGCTGAGCAGCTCCTATTTGTTCTTCAGCAGTTTTTGGCTCGAATATGAATATTTAATCTGATTTTTATATGTAGGCTATAAAAATATTAATATGAATTATTAAAACACTAATGTGATTACAAGAATTTACTTTATAATAACATTATTAACTATGTAATTACACAGAAATAGCAAATAAAAACAGTAACTCCAGCCGTGTGAGGGTTAAACTGAGGTAGTTTATTTACTGCCGGTGTGTTTCACAGTGGGAGCTGAGAGACAGAGTGAGAGGACAGAAAGAACAGAGACAGCTGGACGACAGCAACAGGAGAGACAGACAAAAGCACCTGTCCAGCTCTCACTGCACACCTGTCCCATTACTGACACCCACCTGTCCCATCACTGACACCTACTGTCCCGCAGTCCACACCTGACCCCCCCGTCCCCCCCACCGTTATCACTGTCTGTGTCTGAGCAGCACATTTAATAAAGATCCCCCTGCTGTCCTGTGTGTTATCTTCACCCTACAGCCTCCACCTCTCTCTCTGCCTTCACCTCTCTCTATCGCTCTCTCTCTCTCAATCTCCCTGCCTTCACCTCTCTCTATCGCTCACTCTCTCTGTCTCTCTGCCTTTACCTCTCTCTATCGCTCTCTCTCTCTCAATCTCCCTGCCTTCACCTCTCTCTATCGCTCACTCTCTCTTGCTCTCTCTGCCTTCTACCTCTCTCTATCGCTCTCTCTCTCTCAATCTCCCTGCCTTCACCTCTCTCTATCGCTCACTCTCTCTGTCTCTCTGCCTTCACCTCTCTCTATCGCTCACTCTCTCTGTCTCTCTGCCTTCACCTCTCTCTATCGCTCTCTCTCTCTCAATCTCTCTGCCTTCACCTCTCTCTATCGCTCACTCTCTCTGTCTCTCTGCCTTCACCTCTCTCTATCGCTCTCTCTGCCTTCACCTCTCTCTATCGCTCTCTCTCTTTCAATCTCTCTGCCTTCACCTCTCTCTATCGCTCACTCTCTCTGTCTCTCTGCCTTTACCTCTCTCTATCGCTCTCTGCCTCACCTGCTCTCTATCTCTCTCCTCACCTCTCTCTATCGCTCCTCTCTCTCTCTCTCTGCCTTCACCTCTCTCTATCGCTCTCTGTCTGCCTTTCTCTCTCTCTCTCTCTCTCTATCGCTCTCTCTGCCTTCACCTCTCTCTATCGCTCTCTCTGCCTTTCTCTATCTCTCTCTCTCTCTATCGCTCTCTCTGCCTTCACCTCTCTCTATCACTCTCTCTCAATCTCTCTGTCTCTCTATCTCTGTCTTCATCTCTATCGCTCTCTCTGCCTTCACCTCTCTCTATCGCTCTCTCTCTTCCCTCAGCTCTATCACTCTCTGTCTCTTCCTACACCTCTATCTCTCTCTCTTTCTTCCTTTAACTCTGTATCACTCTCTCTTCCCTCATCTCCCTCTATCGCTCTCTCTTTCTCCCTTCACTTTTCTCTATCACTCTTTCTTTTCCTTCACCTCTTCCTTTAACTCTATCACTCTGTCTCTTCCTACACCTTTCTATCGCTTTCTCTCTCTTCCTTCATCTCTCTCTATCACTCTCTCTTTTCCTTCACCTCTCTCAATCTCTCTCTCTATTCCTTCACCTCTCTCTATCACTCTTTCTCTCTTCCTTCATCTCACTATCACTCTTTCTTCACCTCTCTATCACTCTCTTTCTTCACTCACCTCTCTCTCTTTCTCTTCCTTCACCTCTCTCTATCGCTCTCTCCCTTCAACTCTCTCTTCCTTTAACTCTCTATTGATCCTCCTTCACCTCTCTATCAATCTCTCTCTTCCTTTAACTCTATCACTCTTTTTCTCTTCCCTCACCTCTCTCTATCGCTCTCACTTCCTTCAACTCTCTCTATCACTCTCTCTCTTCCTTCCTCTCTCTCTATTGCTTCTCTCTCTTTAACTTTCTATCGCGCTCTCTCCCTTCAACTCCATCATTCTATCTCTCTTCCTTCAAATCTTTCATTCTCTCTCTCACTGTCTGCCTCTCTCCCTCTCTGTCTCTATATTCCTTTCAAATCTCTCACTCTTTCTCTTCAGACCTCTCTCTTTCTCTTTCCTTTCTTCCTTTCTGTCTTTCTTTCTTCAAACGTCTGTCTGTCTCTTCGCTCACTCTCTCTTTCTTATGTATCTCTCTTCTCTTTCCCCTCTCTCTCTCTTCAAACTTCTCTCTCCCTTCAAAGAGAGCAAAAAAGACAGAGAGAGAATAGAAATGAAAGAGAGAGACAGAGAGAAAAAAAAAGAGAGAATAAGAGGAGGAGGAGGCCGAGAAAGATAAAAAGATGTATTATAGAATATTATTTTCTGACCCGTAGTGTAACGGCTCGGGTTAATGAGATCTATTGGAAAAAAAATCATTTCTGCTGAACAGACGAAATATAGACGTTCTCCTGCTCTGGAGACAGAAGGCCTTCAACGTTCAGGGCGAATGAAAGAGCGAGAACAATCTGACGGTCTCCTTGGTGACCGCTGATGGACAGATGTTAAAGGAGAGATGGACGGGGGTTGGGGTGATGGAGAGTTGCTGAGAGAGAAAGACAGGAACGCCAGAAGGGATCAGCAGGAGGTGAAAGACACGACAGAGAGGAGAAAGTGAGGAAACACTCTCTTTTGTGTAGCTGCCATCACCCCCTTGAGGCAGAAACATGCAATTACACCCACATTCACTCTATAGTTATTACTGTCAGACTGTAAAACTACACACTGCAGATTCATACTGGATTAAAATCGCTCCACAATTATTACTGTCAGACTGTAAAACTACACACTGCAGATTCATACTGGATTAAAATCGCTCCACAATTATTACTGTCAGACTGTAAAACTACACACACTGCAGATTCATACTGGATTAAAATCGCTCCACAATTATTACTGTAAAACTACACACACTGCAGATTCACACTGGATTAAAATCGCTCCACAATTATTACTGTAAAACTACACACACTGCAGATTCATACTGGATTAAAATCGCTCCACAATTATTACTGTCAGACTGTAAAACTACACACACTGCAGATTCATACTGGATTAAAATCGCTCCACAATTATTACAGTCAGACTGTAAAACTACACACACTGCAGATTCATACTGGATTAAAATCGCTCCACAATTATTACTGTCAGACTGTAAAACTACACACACTGCAGATTCATACTGGATTAAAATCACTCCACAATTATTACAGTCAGACTGTAAAACTACACACACTGCAGATTCATACTGGACTAAAACCGCTCCACAATTATTACTGTACTGAGATATAAAGTGAACTTCAGTTAACTTTGCCAGGTAAAAGTAATTCAGCTCCGACGAGGTTTAACATCCATCATCAACACTTTCACAGGCCGAGGGACAGCTAGCATATTATGCTAATAATTTAGCGCTGTATCTCTAATCTTAGACACAGATAAAACACGGCTGATGAAAAGCCCCTTCAGATTTAAATAGCCTGTACATCTGAATATCAGAAATAGCATCATAATCTCCACCCAAGTCCATTCACTGAGCTGTAGGGAATAAATTAAGAGTCAAGAGGTCTCATTCAAGATTATTACAGTTACACTACTAATATCGACAGAGACAGAGAAGCTATGATGCCTTACCTGCCTAAAGAGAGCAACCTCACTTTCATAGAGTCTGAGTCAGAGTCACAAAGCCCACAGGTGCCCTTGAAGAAGTGCTGACTTCGCTGGCTGAGCGACTTGGAAGCGTTTATTTTGAATCTTAAATATTATCGTTGAATGCAGCTTAGTGTGAATATAGCTTTACTATGCACAGTGAGTGCTAATGTAGTACCTGTGTAGCATTTGTGTAGAGATATGAAGTAGAATGTGCATGAAAACTGAAGCAGTGATAATGCAGCGTACATGTAGTGTTAATAAATGGTAATACAGAGTTAATGCATTTTAATTTAGCATGTATTAAGTGTTAATACCATCTTCATGTAGTATAATTATGTGGGGTTATTGCAGTTTTATCATATTCATGCAGCATGAATTCAGCACCAATACACCATATGGACAAAAGTATTGGGACACACCTCTTTATCATTCAATTCAGGTGTTTCGTTCAAATCAAGCAGCTAGCCATGCAGTCTGCCTTTACACACATTAGTGAAAGAACAGGTCATTCTAAAGAGCTCACTGAATTCCAGCGTGGTGCTGTAATAGGATGCCACCGCTGCAACAAGTCAGTTCATGAAAGTTCCTCCCTGCTAGATTTTCCACCATCAACTGTGAGTGGTATAGGAACCACAGCAACTCAGCCATGAAGTGTCAGACCACGTAAAGTTACAGAGCGGGTCTCAGAGTTCTGAGGAGCATAGAGCATAAAAGACACCAACGCTCTGCTGATCAATAACTGCAGAGTTCAAACCTCCTCTGGCTTCAACATCAGCACAAACACTGCATCAGGAGCTTCATGGCAGGGTTTCCATGGCTGAGCAGCTGCATGCAAGCCTTACATCACCAAGCACAATGCCAAGCATCGTATGGAGTGGAGTAAAGCGCCGCCACTGGACTCTGGAGCAGTGGAAACGTATTCTGTGGAGTGACCAATCAGCTTCTCTATCAGTCAGTCTGATGGACGAGTCGGGGTTTGGCGAGTGCCAGGAGAACGTTACCTGCCTGACTGCACTGTGCCAGCTGTAGAGTTTGGTGGAGGACGGATGATGATATGGGGCTGTTTTTCAGGGGTTGGTCTAGAACCCTTAGTTCCAGTGAAGGGAGATCTTAATGCTTCAGCACCAAGACATTCTGGACAATTGTACACTTCCAACTTTGTGGGAACAGTTTGGGGAAGAACCTTTCTGACTGGGTGAGTTTGGTGGGGAAGAACTTGACTGACCCTCACAGAGCCCTGACCTCAACCCCACTGAACACCTTTGGGATGAATTAGAATGGAGATTGTGATCCAGACCCTCTCGTCCAACATCAGTGTCTGACCTCACAAATGCTCTTCTGGATGAATGGACAGAAATTCCCACAGAAACTCTCCAACATCTTGTAGAAGCTTCCCAGAAGAGTCAAAGCTGTTAGAGCTGCAAAGCGGGACCAGCTCCATCTTAATGCCTATGGATTTAGAATGGGAGTCATAAAAGCTCCTACCTGATGTGTAGGTGTCCCAGTACTTTTGTCCATATAGTATATACTGTTAATGTAGTACACTGCAGTACATACACATACTATGAATGTAGTGTTAATGCAGTGTAAACCAAGTGTGAATGTAATCTGTGTGTGAATATAGTTTTAATGGAGTGTAAATATAGAATGCAATGATAATACTGACTGAAGGTAGTTTTAAGGTAGTGTTATTGCAGAATCTATATGGTAAGAATGCAGTGTTAAAGTGGCATAAATATTGCATGTAATGTTAGCACAGTGTTAATGTAGCATGAATATAGTGTTAACGTAGGCTGGATAGTTAAAAAAAGCCAAGGCATTCAAGAAGGAAGTCAACATATGTTTTTAAGATTAAGATTAAGTGACCCTTATTAGTCCCACAACGGGGAATTTTCACCTCTGCAATTTAACCCATCTTTGCAGTGAAACACCACATACACACTAGTGAACACACACACTAGGGGGCAGTGAGCACACTTGCCTGGAGCGGTGGGCAGCCCTATACACAGCGCCTGGGGAGCAGTTGGGGGCTAGGTGTCTTGCTCAAGGGCATCTCAGTCACGTACTGTCAGCTCAGGGGATCAAACTGGCGACCTTCCGGACACAAGGCTGGTTCCCTAACCTCCAGCCCACGACTGCCCCTGTTTTGTTGACTACAGCAAAGCTTTTGACTGTGTGTTCCACTTAAAATTATGAAATATCCTTAGGAAAATGTGTAAAAACCAAAGTATCTCAGTGTTTTAATGAAGACCCTCCACACTGATCAACAAAGCCACAGCCATGAGAGAAAATGAACAGACTGGTTCCACATCGGCAAAGGAGCCAGACAGGGTTGCCCTATATTGCCATATCTGTTTAACCTGTATTCTGGACATATAAAAGAGAGAAAAGGACAGGAGGAAGATGACTGAGAACTCAAGATTGGTGGAGGAAACATCAATAACCTTCGGTATGCGGGTGGCACGACACTTTCAGCATGTCAGGAAGATCTGAAGAGATGAGAAAAATGGGAATTTAAGCTCAATATGAAGAAAACAAAGTTTACGTCTAGGGTAACAAACGCTCACTTTACCACTGACGGAGAAGATGTGGTGATGGTGGGCAGCTTTGGCCCACTTGGATCAATTTTTAACAACAAAGGATCCAGCAGTGCAAAAATACAACACAGATTGGCTCTCAGCAGAACAGGGATGAAGGAATGAAGGCTGGAGTCTTTTCTGTGGTTCTTTATGGACATGAAATGGGACATGAAAAATACTGATATCTTTGAACTTGTAATGTTGGTAAGGACTTTTGAGAGTTCCTTGGATGGCAAGGAAAACAAACAAAAGGGTTCTTGAACAAATCAAGCTCCTTCTAACAACTTCTGACAATCTGAAATAACGTTCCAGGTCGGGAGCTCGGTCGGGTTTTTCCATGTTGTTACCCTTTTCAATATCTTTACAGATGTTATTGTAGTACTGGTCTTTGGTCCTACCCGGTGGTCTTCTCTGCGGTTGTTTATGGATGTGAAGGCTGGACAATAAACAAGCAAGACAGGAAAAATACAGACGCCTTTGAACTTCAGTGTTGGCGATGACTTTTGAGAGAACCTTGGATGGTTCCTTGAACAAATCGAGCCTCACTTCTCACTCGAAGCCCAGAAAACCAAACTGAAGACACATTCTGAGAAGAGATGCTCAGAAGAGTTTAAGATAAAAGAGGAGGCACAACAAGATGGAGGAAGACAATCAAAGGAATCATGAACCAGCCATTCAGAAGCCTGAAGTCTCAAAGAGAAGGCAGGATATTCTGGAGAAATCCTGTCCATTCAGTTCACAGGAGTCACAAAGGACTGGACGGCACTTAATAATGTTAATAGCATTAATGCAGTTTGAATATAATATAAATGTAGTGTTAATGTAGTGTTAGTGCAGCATAATGAGCTGTTTATCAGCAAAAATCAAACCTTTATTCTGTGCTCGTCTGTCTCCGCCACAGTAGCCACTCTGATCAGCATGGGGTTCCTCTTATCCACCACCTCCAACTTCATATTCAGCTGGAAACTGTGGGGAGGCCTCTGCAGGGATGAGTGAGAGAGATTGAGAGAGAGAGAGAGAGAGAGATAGAGATCAGATCAGTGCAGTGTTTATAAAGACATCAAACACTCGCGTGCAGAAGTTTCTGGAAGTTTTGCAAGATGTAGAAACACAAACTCACGGTTTTGAAGGCTCTTGCTGGAGCGGGTAATGAGCTGGTCTCCTCCAGATACTTCTCCCAGGAGAAGCTGGCGGTGTCCGGAAATCCTGCAGAGCACAGACCACATCACAGACACAGGAGTCAGAGAGCACCCTTCATTTATTCGGTTTCCAGTCATTAAATACAAGGTATTCGGTTTTCAGTGTCACATCGCTGCTGTCGGATCAAAACCTCCTACTCCAAAAAGGCGACTTTACAGGAGAAGGAAAAACTTTTAATGGAAGTTAATAGAGAAATTATTTATTCCAAGTTATTTTGGGGCACTCTGATTGGTCCATTCATCGCCAAATTTACTGCTGTTTACAAAAAAAAAGTGTAAACAGCAGCTGGTGATTTCAAATTCTGTCAAAAAATGAAAATTCAGTGTCAAAAACATGAGGTTTTGGCTCCCAAGTGGCACAACCATCTAAGCACCCGTCTGGCCCTATCATCAGGAGATCGCGAGTTCGATCCCTGGTGATGCTACAGCCGTCCGTAGCCGGGAGTCCAAGAAAGCACAAATGGCCTCGCTCTCTCTGGGTGGGTAGGATGGACCCCCCTTCTCCCCCCAATGCGATGCTAGTCAGCGCAGGCGTCTGTTAGCTGACGTAACAGATCTGGCGGTTGGCGCTTTCCTCCGAGCGCGTTCGGCTGTCCAGTGACGTTGCGTGAGTGGCAGTTCGAAAAGAAGCGGTGGTGCTTCACAGGTCTCGGAGGAAGCCTGTGTTAGCCTTCACCCTCCTAGCGTTGACAGTATTGTGTGATTGGGGGAGTCCTAACTAGCGGGTGGAATTGGAAATGACTAAATTGGGGAGAAAATTGGGTAAAAAAAAACAAAAAAAAAACACACAAGGTTTTGTCCCGACAGCCATGATATATTTAACAGAACAAGAACAAAAGTACACGATAAAAAGCAGATTCACATATTTCTTTACAACTTTTTTCTTCGATGACATCAGGCAGTGACATCACCTGGGGGCGTGGTAAGCGTCTTGCCGTTCTCCTGACACCAACCAATCGGATGGATGTATGGACTTGTGGCATCGCACCTACAAACAAACAGATTTAAACCCTTAAAATCCAGTCTTATTACATACTAAGGCTTATTATACAGTAACTACAGGGACTTCATTGCAAACTGGCTGAGCTATTCCTAGGTTATAGAGTGTTATAAGGCCATTTAAGGTTTTGCTGGATGTAACACCAAACTCTAGTAAAGGTATTACTTTACAGCTGTCCTCCTGAAAGCCTCATGTGAGTGAGATAATTAAAAAACGGAGCAGTAAGGTTGTCCCTGAACTCCCTCACTGCAGTTAAAGCAGATTTAGCCCTTATGAAAGTGGGCCCTAATAGGATTGAATGGAAGTATTACTCTAAAACATGATGTCCTGTGTGAGACGGGAGCAATTTTTCCATCCTTTAGAAGATTTAATTTCATAATTAGGAGCCTCTGATTGAATACAGCATCCGTTAATTACAGCACTCGTTGATGTCCAACAACTAAGTTTAGTATGATTATAGAAGTACTATAGAACGTGTTCTGATTGCTCTGAAGTGATCCGATTTTGTACAGTTACACCCTATATGAGCATCTAACAGAACATATTGTATTTTATTTTTTTAAGTACGTCATTTTCTACCTTTTTCACAACCAATTTTGTATTTTGTATTTCATATAACATGATAAAAACGTACTTTTTAGCCATACGGTTTGATCAATTTGAAAGATTTGTGCTCAGGCTTAGTGAACAACAGACCATAAGAAAGTGTAACATTTCACATTTGGGGTGCATTAATAGGTTATGAATACAATCATGCAGTTAACTGGTAAGGCAAAATTATGAAGACTCAAAAGCTCAACACATTAGTCTTACAGTAGAGGTGGACAATATGGCAAAAATATTGTATCACAATACTTATTACTATTTTCATGATACACAATATGCAGCACAATATACAAAATAGAACCTGTAGTGCCACATTTAAAAATACTACAGTAATAACAATAATAATAATAATAATAATGTGAAACTGGAAACAAAAAGTTTTACTGGGGACTATTTTGCGTTATAACACCCTACATGAAATGTTATGTATCTCTCCAGCATTAATGGATTTTGAAAGTATATCACAGCCCAAAAGTTTATCTTAAAACTATCATAAAACAGCATCTCAGTCATCAGGCAGTGAATTCATAACTATTTCATGTAGGAACTTTCTGTGAGGGAGCTTTTAGGGGTGGACGTCTGGTTCCTATCACCACCACTGTGAACAGTTCTGACTCAACTTTCCAAGTTTTTAATTTGAAAAGAAAAAACAGGTTTCCATGATTTGAGCCCTTTAAGAAAGATATATGTTCCTCGTTCTACGCTCTCAGGAACCTTCCTTGTGAATGTTCTTATGAATGCACGCATGGACGCATTCAAGTACACCTGCATGACCATCATGGTGAGCTTTAGTCAACAGCTCACTGACCACAGTGGACAGCACTACAGCACTGAGCCCTGAGGAGCTCATACAGTTCTGCGCTGCAGGCATCAGCGCTGTTCACCACACAGAGAGCCTCTCACAGCAGGGAGCACGTTTACACCTCTGACTGACTTCTCTGGGTTTGGTTTGGTTCTCTGCTCCAAATTCAGCCGATATATATTCCATTAATAATTAATAAATAATGAACAGCTGAATAAAGTCTCTACGCAACAGACAGACGCACAGGTGCAGTAGGTGGAACTAAAGAAACAGGTCAAGAGGAACAAAGAGAGAGAGAGGGAGTAAAAGAGGGAAGAGAGCGTACATCAAAGAGTAGAGAGAGAGCACGAGAGAAGAGAGAGAAGGTGAGAAAGGAAAGAGAGAATAAGGAAGAGAGACAGAGAAATAAGGGTGAAATAATAGGGAGTGAGAGAGGAAAGGAAAAGAGGAGAAAGAAGAGAATAACAGAGAAAAGAGAGAATAAAAGAAGGAAGAGAAGACATGAAAGACCTCAAAGAGTGAGGGAGAAAAGAGAGGGAAAGTGGGAAAAGAAAGAGAATGAGGAGGAGAAGACAGAAAAATAAGGGTGAAAGAGTAGAGAGAAAGAAAGAGGAAGAGACAAAAGGAGAGAAGAAAAAGAGAGAGCAAGAAAGTGAGAGCATGAAAGGAAAGAGAGCAAGAGAGAGGAAGCAAAGGAGAGAGAGGAAGAGAAAGAGAGAGAGAAAAAGAAAAGATAAGACAGCGGAAAAGAAAAGAGAGGAAAGAGAGAAAGAAGAGAGAGAGAGAGAGAGAAAACAGAGTGAGAGAGAGAGAGAAAAGAGAGGAGAAAGAGAGAGAGAGAGAGAGAGAGAGAGAGAAAACAGTGAGCGAGAGAGAGAAAAGAGAGGAGAGAGAGAGAGAGAGAGAGAGAGAGAGAAAACAGAGTGAGCGAGAGAGAGAAAAGAGAGGAGAGAGAAGAGAGAGAGAGAGAGACACTCCTCAATAATTGATAAGCATTCATAATTGAAGGCCGCACTAAGAGCACTCAGCTCAACTCAGCTGAGAGGTGAATAAGTACACATCATCCTCCATCACGTCTGTGAGGCGGTGCAGACGCTGTTCTCAGTGCAGACGCTGTTCTCAGCGCAGACGCTGTACTCAGTGCAGACGCTGTACTCAGTGCAGATGCTGTTCTCAGCGCAGACGCTGTTCTCAGTACAGACGCTGTACTCAGCGCAGACACTGTACTCAGTGCAGATGCTGTTCTCAGTGCAGACGCTTCGCCTGTTGTGTTTGTATGCGGTTTAATGTTCTTCTCCACATCAGCTGCAAATAGTCGACCCTTTAGCACCATCTACTGCCAACTAGTGTGTAGCACACATCCTGACTAATACAAACAACAGTGATTCAGAGTGGTTTGGTGTGAAATGGTTCAGATGTCTTTACAGTGGTGGTGATAGGAACCAGGGGTCGCCATGACTACAACACAGATATAGACATTTTATTTACCATCCAGAACCACCAGTGAACCTACACGAGTCTTCTGAGTTTATATGGAATGTTGATGATGGGAAATCCTAAATAATAAGTTTTCTTTGGGGACTATTTTGCCTCACAGCGCCCTGCATGTACGCTACGGTTTATAGATGAATAATCTTTAATTGAAACTGCAACCTGAAAGAGTACAGTTTTCAAATTTCAAGAGCTGAAATGTTTATTACAGAATACAATATAAACAATGTTTGAAGGCGTCACCTCCCTGTAGATGACTTGGGCCAGTCAGAACCAACTCGTGTACTCATGTAATATCATAACCATAACTGGAACGCTGGCTGTCTGGGGCACTCAGTATTTAAGCCTCAAGACAGAAAAAAATGATATTCTGGTCTTCTTGGCCAAAAAACAGGGCAGCAAATTAATTCACCGAAAATTTAATTAATTTAATTTACTTTTAATTCACAGTTGCAATATTGGTCAACCCTGATGTACCCCAAATTATTTTTTGTAGTTCAAATTCTTCTCAAAGCTACCGTGAATTCATAACCATTTCACATTTCATGTAGTAACTTTCTGTGAGGGAGCTTTTAGAGGTGAACGTCTGGTTCCTATCACCACCACTGTGAACAGTTCTGACTTGGTGAGTTTATCTAGAACAGAGTGTTTCACACCAAACCACTCTGAACGGCTCTGTTTACATCTTAGTCATTTAATTATACAGAAATTTTGAAATATCAGTGGAATTCCCTCTTTTATTCTAAACCTGAGACATGGGAATGCTGCCCCCTAGTGGGAATACAATTACACTATAAACTCCTTAAATCTTCTAATTTGCTTCAATCACTCTTTAGGAAAACTATAATATATGCAATGTTGCAGTTTCTTAGAAACTGATAGTTTCAATTATAACCATAAATGTTCACTATAAATATCTTCTTTCTCATGAATAAAAAACTTACCATTTCCTTACAAACGAATTAACTGGATTTTTAAACTCCACTTTTATGTAATTCACCTTTCTTCACCCACAGAACAAAAAAGACACGGGTGTTAAAAAATAAAGTATCTGTTTTTGGCTACCAGTAATCGTAGCTCTCATCCCAGCCATCAAAGTGCACCAGGAGGCGGCTGTCCACCAAGTCCGTAACCGTGGCAACGCAGATGAATGAAGGATTCTTCTTATCGACCGCCTCGAGCTTCATCCCGACTCTGAAGCCTAAAGGTGTGACCATCTGAAGAAGAAAAAAAATACAAGATGTAAATTTAAGCTGTAGAAAAAATCTGAGCAAGTGTAAACATCTTAACCCTCTGCTGCATTATGGGAGCAATTTTAGGTCAAGTGGCCCTAATTATTAAATTCAGGAACATTTTTAAATGATAACGTGTGCAGCTGTTCTTTTGGAGTATGCTGCCTTGAGGCAACATTGTGCGACAATGGGAAGAAATGATAGAGAGCTGTGTTCCCTGAAGTGGTGAGACCTGACTTGTGACTGGCTGAATCCATTCCACTGTCACACAATGAGAGACAGAGTGAATGAGAGAGCAAGAAAGAGAGTGAGAAAGAGAAAGTAAAAGAGGGAAGAGAGAGCATACATGAAAGAGTAGAGCGACAGCGAGAGAGAAGGTGAGAAAGGAAAGAGAGAATAAGGAAGAGAGACAGAGAAATAAGCGTGAAATAGTAGGGAGTGAGAGAGGAAAGGAAGAAAGAGAGACAGAGAAAAAGCAAAAAAGAGTAGAGTGAAAGAGAGAGGAAGAGACAAAAGGAGAGAAGAAAAAGAGAGGAGAGAAAGAAGAGAATGACAGAGAAAAGAGAGAATAAAAGAGGGAAGAGAAGACATGAAAGAGTTCAGAGTCAGTGAGAGAGAAAAGAGAGGGAAAGTGGGAAAAGAAAGAGAGAATGAGGAGGAGAGACAGAGAAATAAGGGTAAAAGAGTAGAGAGAAAGAGAGGAAAAGACTAAATGAGAGAAGAAAAAGAGAACAGAGAGCGATGAGTGGCCAACAAAGTAAGAGAGCGTGAAAACAGACAGAGAGAGAGAGAGAGAGAGAGAGAGAGAAGTGGGAAAAGAAAGAGAATAAGGAGGAGAAGAAACAGTGAAATACGGGTGAAAGAGTAGAGAGAAAGAAAGAGGAAGAGACAAAAGGAGAGAGGAAAGAGAGGACAGAGAGGGCAAGAAAGTGAGAGCATGAGAAGCGAAGGAGAGAAAAAAGAGAAAGAAAAAAAGGAGAAGACAGAGGGAAAGTGAAAGAAAGAAAGAGCGAGAGAGCAGAGAGAAAGAGAGAGGAAAAGACAAAATGAGAGAAGAAAAGAGAGATGAGAGGCCAATAAAGTGAGAGAGTGTGAGAAAACAGACAGAGAGAGAGAGAGAGAGAGAGAGAGAGAGAGTGAGAGAGAGAAAAGAGAGAGAGAGAGAGAGTGAGAGAGACAGAGAGAGAGCAAGAGAGAGAGACAGAGAGACAACAGAGAGACATTGTCGCACCATGTTGCTTCTAGGCAACAAACATATTTCTGTAAATTCTCATAACAAAAAACAAATTGATACTGAATGTTAAACAGAGGTTTAAAGGAGTCCACGGAGAGACAGAATGACCAGAACATGCTTTTTATCGCCTTACTCTGCCCTTTATTGTTAATCCTGTCTTTGTCGTTAAATATGTTATATATGTGTTATTGTAAAGTGAGGAAAATGAGTTTGTTGCCCTGAGGCAACATCGTGCAATAGAGGGTTAAATGTAGTCAATATATCTAATATTTCTCATAATGCGACTGTTGCAAGAATCTGTTTATAGACCTTTTTACTAGCTTTAAGTAATCTCATCGAGTGAAAGTGTCTTGATCCATCGGCAGATCATTTTACTTGTTTTGAGAAATCATGCAAAGAATTTTGCTTAATAAAAAAAATATTTTTTTAACTGTAATGAAAATAAAAACCGAATTTCCACCTTTTTAACATAATATCATTTTTAATAATATTGTTGAGCACCCAGTCCTGCTTGTGAGTGGATGTTTTTAAGCTAAAGCCCACCTCTTTTTTATTTTTTAACCCCCTACCAACCCCCCACCCCACCCCTTATAGTACTTTGTCATTAATAATACATATTTCATGAATCTATGAGGTCTTTTTCTAAGAAGAAGGAGGGCAAAGAGAACAGAATAAACATTAAAAGCAACAACAATAACAACAACAACAACAACAAAAATAGAGAAAAAACAAACATGATTTTTAAAAAAACTACATATTTAACATTTAACTTTCATACAAAAGGAAACACAATAAAGCCCAGTGTAGGGTGGGGTTAATCATAGCCTACAGCCTATAGCTCAGGGCTGGTAGTCAGGATTGGTTGACACCACATACATACAGTGGTTGTATGATGTATATGTGTGTAATGCATGCTGGGTACTGAACAGCCGTATGCAAAACTCAGGTCAAACTCCATGTTGTTGTTGATTTTCTAAGTGCAGATAAGTGAACACATCCTCTACAGAGACACACTACTGTCTACTTAATACACAACTACTGTTTATTTACTGAATTTAACATATTGGGGAAAATATAATAATACAGAAAATATAAAATGTGCCATAACTTTTGCACAGGCCTCATTTTATGTGTGTTAACATCAGCAAAGAAACAGTAGTTGTGCACCAAAATGTGCAGAAGTAAACTGTTAAATCACTGCCAGGATTTTGCAATATTCAACATAATTTTTCACATTAAAAATCATTATTATTATTATTATTATCGTTATTATTATTTTATTTTGAAATCAACTCATATTAAGAAATCAGATTGAGTAATTCTGCAACAACACAGCAAATTACACTGTAAAATAGTATACTTGAGATATTCTGCATATACAGTACAAAACATGGGAGATAAATATGTTCGTTGTTTGATGTTATTTTACTGTGTTTCAATTCACCAAAACAAGTAACATCTACAGGTCTGGTAAATTTAAAGTCCTTTCCTTTATATGCACATTCACAGTATGTTATAAGCCACTGATGTGCGCAAGTAATTAACTTAATTACACTAAAAAATAAACAAAATGTAATTTGACCAGGGCGCCCAAACTTTTGCACACAGCTGTAGTAACAGAACACGATGAAAATAATATAAAATTGTGAATTTTGTCAGACTGATGAGGCTGAGGGATCCAACGCTGCACTACAGAACGCTACATAACACCACTAATAACATGTCACTGCTGTCAGAACAAAACCTTGTATCTCAAAATGGTAACTTTACAGGAGAAGCAAAAAACATACCTTATTTTTAATGGAAGTCAATGGAACCAGGAGTATTAATTAAGTCATTTTGGGTTGTTTCTGTCGGACCATTCACCACGAAATTTACACACAATGTATAGAGCAACAAAAATGGAGATACAAGGTTTTATTCTAACAACAGCGATATTAAACTTTAGCTTTAGGGTGGAGTGCCCCTTTGAGCTTTCCAGTTTTGAAGAACCCACAGAACTCACAGTGTTCTGGTTGTCAAACAGGGCTTTGGGTGCTGCTTGAACTTTATTCATCTTCAGGTAGGAGCACCAGCTGAACGCTTCACTCTTCATCCCTGCAGAGAGACGAACAGCAGATTGTTTTTATCACAGTAAACAGTGCCGTCCAGTACCATTCACATCCTACAGGGGGAGCTCTAACATTTCCTACATACTGTTAGTGTATGATCCATGTAAATGCAAAGAACAGTAAACACTGTATGCACGATCTTGACAATAAACATGCTGCTTTCCTGCTTAAGTGATTTAAAAAATGATCAAACTACACAAAATCTGTCAAACTACTGGATTTAACCGTCTCAGTTAGAGCCAACAATAACACAGTCATGCTGTAGTAATATTTATCTATTTTCAAACTCACCAACATTTTTCTTGCATTTTATATTTTACTCCTGAGCTCCACTTAAAATGTTTGTGCTTTTACGCACCCAAAACAGTCATCATTTATTTCTACAAGTCCATAATAAGTCCTCTCTCTCTCTCTCTCTCTCTATATATATATATAGAATGGGACGTCGTATGTATATAAATATATATATATATATATATATATATATATATATATACATATATATATATATATATGACGTCCCATTCTAAATCCATAGGCATTAATATGGAGTTGGTCCCCCTTTGCAGCTCTAACAGCTTCCACTCTTCTGGGAAGCTTCTACAAGATGTTGGAGAGTCTGTGGGAATTTCTGTCCATTCATCCAGAAGAGTATTTGTGAGGTCAGACACTGATGTTGGACGAGAGGGTCTGGCTCACAATCTCCATTCTAGTTCATCCCAAAGATGTTTGATGGGGTTGAGGTCAGGGCTCTGTGAGGTCCAGTCAAGTTCTTCCACACCAAACTCACCCAGTCAGGCCTTTATGGAGCTGCTTTGGTCACTGGGGCTCAGTCATGCTGGAACAGTAAAGGTTCTTCCCCAAACTGTTCCCACAAAGTTGGAAGTGTACAATTGTCCAAAATGTCTTGGTGCTGAGTCATTAAGATTTCCCTTCACTGGAACTAAGGGTTCTAGACCAACCCCTGAAAAACAGCCCCATATCATCATCCCTCCTCCACCAAACTCTACAGCTGGCACAGTGCAGTCAGGCAGGTAACGTTCTCCTGGCATTCGCCAAACCCAGACTCGTCCATCAGACTGACTGATAGAGAATCTGATTCGTCACTCCACAGAACACGTTTCCACTGCTCCAGAGTCCAGTGGCGGCGCTTTACTCCACTCCATCCGACACTTGGCTTTGCACATTTTGATCTTAGCCTTGTGTGCAGCTGCTCAGCCATGGAAACTCACTTTATGAAGCTCCTAATGTGCAGTTCTTTTACTTCCAGAGGCGATATGGACCTCTTTAGTGAGAGACAAAACAGAGGATAGCCACTGTGCACTTCAGCACTCAGCAGCCCCCCTCTGTGAGTTTGGTGGTCTACCGCTTCGTGGCTGAGATGTTGTTGCTCCTAGACGCTTCTATTTCACAGTAATAGCACTTACAGTTGTCTGGGGCAGATCTAGCAGGACAGAAACCTCACAAACTGACTTGTGGCAGAGGTGGCGTCCTATGATGTGGCATGTTTGAAGTCACTGAGCTCATCAGTTCGACCCTCTACTGTCAGTGTTTGTCTATCGAGACTGCAAGGCTGTGTGCTTAATTTAATCCACCTGCTGTCAACAGGTGTGGCTGAAACACCTGAACTCAATAATTAGGAGGGGTGTCCCAATACTTTTGTCCATGTAGTGTGTGTACACATATATATAGGTTGAATGGGTGCAGCAGTTTAGCCCCACCCACTCACGCTGAAGTTATACATTTTTAAATCAGGGCTCATTTACATATGTAAGTCTTAAGGGGGCAGTAGCAGAAACACCCTGGAAAACTGTCATGTAAAAGTGAATTCTGACTGTTTTTGGTACATAAAACCACACAAACATTGTTAAGTGGATCTCTTTAAACGGTTTAATACACATACAGTCAAATAAAGCTGCTGGAGTTTCATCTTTACAAGTGCTCTTATTGCCAGTACCGGGTACAGTACCTTTAGGTGGCTGCAGCTTGTGGCCCGTTTTCTCACACCAGCCTGCAGGGTGAATATCCGGAGAGTTACAGTTTACCCAGAAATCATAGCACTCTGAGAACTTATCAAAGTGCAGACGGATCCTGTGACCAGAAACCTGCAAATACACAGTACAGCAGTATTAACACACTTATATAACACAGCAGTAAATCAGTTTTCTTTGGGGACTACTTTGCCTCACAACACCCTGCATGAATCCCTCCACCAGGAATAAAAATATGAGGCCAAAACCTTTTTAAATCTAGCATAAAACAGTGTCTCAGTCATCAGGCAATGTGAATTCATAACCATTTCATGTAGTAACTTTCTGTGAGGGAGCTTTTAGAGGTGGACGTCTGGTTCCTATCACCACCACTGTGAACAGTTCTGACTCAGTTTCTCTAGAACAGAGTGTTTCACACCAAACCACTCTGAATGACTCTGCGTACGTCTTAACCACTTAATTATGCTGGAATTTTGAAAATATGATAGAATTCCTTTAAGTAATCTCAAAAAACATGAACAAAATTGTCATATAGCTAAAAATAGCCTTGTAGCCAGAATTTTGACAGTATTCTGTCCATATTTATAGATAATAGTGAGTCATACAGTGTCAGAAACCACATAATCAAGTCTATTAGAGATACTAAGCAACACACAGTGATAATTGGTGGGACATAAGCTTCCATTGTGTAAATGAGATTTTTTGGCGAATTAAATTGGTCTAATTGTAGTGAAACAAGTCTGTTACCTCGGCAACAGAGAGCACGCAGTACATGGAGGGGTGTTCAGGGTCGACTCCCTCCAGCCGCATCCCTACCCTGAAGCCATTCTTACCCTGAGGAAACGACTGGTACTGCAACAGAACACAAACACAGAGAAACTGGAGCTTTAAAAACTGATTAAAAGCTACAGAGAAAATGGGGCTCCTAACAGCCACCTGGAAGACCTGGTAGCCCCCAAAACTGCCCCCATCAGATAAACAGCACTTAAAGCTTTCATCTCTGAGAGAGAGGAGAAAATCAAGCTGCTTCAGATCTGAAAACATCCACAGGTGTTTCTGTCCATCCTTCCACTGTGAGAAGACGACTCAGCGCTGTGGGTCTGAAAGGATGTGTAGCTGATCAAGAAGAACCTCACTGAGAAAAGGAGACGGACACATCAAACAAAGAAGCTGAACGATGGACTGACCACTCCAGAGCCCAGACCTCAACACCACTGAATGTGTTTGATTAGTTCAGAAAATGATCAACCAGCTCCTAAGACTGAACTTTGGAGGTGTGTCTGCAGATTCTTTGAGGAGCTGAAAGTGAGACTCCTGAAAAGAATGGAGGTTGGAATAAAGGTGAAGAGTGACTCACTGAACACTCAAATAGCTGAGATTAGATTTAGACGTTGAGGCTATATATACCTAAGCTTATGACTAAATACCTGTTGCTGTAATCTTCTGTTACTTTCTGATTTTTGTGCATGTACTTACTTGTGTTTTGACTGAAAATGAAATAAATTAAGAGTCCGTCTCTATACAGTAATATAAAGTTCAAACTAAACCAGCACCACTGCTTTGTCTACACATCATTCCTACTCTGTTGTGGTGTTAGATTGTGATATACATAAACACAAAGCTGATATTTGCAGTGTATCTTCTATTTTTATTAGAAACACCCACCTTGTACTTCCACCAACTGGCCACTTTATTAGAAACACCTACCTTGTGCTTCCACTAACTGGCCACTTTATTAGAAACACCCACCTTGTGCTTCCACTTACCGGCCACTTTATTAGAAACACCCACCTTGTGCTTCCACTAACTGGCCACTTTATTAGAAACACCTACCTTGTACTTCCACTCACTGGCCACTTTATTAGAAACACCTACCTCACAGATCCACTATATCAGTGTACAATTACAGACAGTAGTTTATCTGGTGCTGCACCATTTACATTAAAATTCTATTATATTATCATTTTGGTGGTATGTATGTGGACTATGATTAGTGATTAGTTAATAACCCGTTTTTAAAGTCCTATAGCGCTGTGTGACTGCTCTCTCACCTCTTTATAAAGTTTGCCAGGAGCAGCGACGGCTTTCTCCTGCTCCAGATACGAAGCCCAACACCACGACTTCTTCTTCCCACCATACGGAACCGCTGTGAAGGACAAAACAGTAAACATCTAGATACGGTGATCCAAAAACAATCTCTAATAGACTGGATTATGTGGATTCTGACACTGTATGACTCAGTGTTATCTGTAAACAAGGATGAAAATATGGATGGAATTCAGACTTTAGACTGTTACTATTGTTTTTTAGTTACAGTACTGCGCAAAAGTCAGAGACCAGCCTTCATTTATTCAACTTACTTAACAGTCAAAATAGGTCAATAAACACAAGTGAATAATTTTTCAGCATCAGGAAAAACAAATTTAACAGAAAATCACCCAGAAGCCTCAACGTCTAAATCTAATCTCAGCTGTGTGAGTCAGTGAGTCACTCTTCACTTTTATTCCAGCTTCCACTCTTTTCAGGAGCCTCACTTTCAGTTCCTCAAAGAATCTGCAGACACACCTCCAAAGTCCAGTCTTAGAAGCTGGTTGATCATTTTCTGAACTAATCAAACACATTCAGTGGTGTTGAGGTCTGGGACTCTGGGGTGGTCAGTCCATCGTTCAGCTTCTTTGTTTGATGTGTCCGTCTCCTTTTCTCAGTGAGGTTCTTCTTGATCAGCTACACATCCTTTCAGACCCACAGCGCTGAGTCGTCTTCTCACAGTGGAAGGATGGACAGAAACACCTGTGGATGTTTTCAGATCTGAAGCAGCTTGATTTTCTCCTCTCTCTCAGAGATGAAAGCTTTAAGTGCTGTTTATCTGATGGGGGGCAGTTTTGGGGGCTACCAGGTCTTCCAGGTGGGTGTTGGGAGCCACATTTTCTCTGTAGCTTTTAATCATTTTCATCTAGTGTCTGAGAAATATCTGCCGAAAAATGAATGACTCTGTACTTAATGACTGTTTTTGGAAGCTAAATAGAGTGAGAGTGGTCGCTGACTGTTGCTCAGTAATTTATGTAACATACTTTAGTCCATGTTTGTAGACGACAGTGAGTCATACAGTATCAGAAACCACTTAATCAAGACTATTAGAAACTACTGAACACCTCCACATGCTTTGAGCGTGTGAATATGTAGGCGTGCAGTTAGCAAGATGCTAATTGGTGGGCTATAAGCCTCTGTTACTCCATTAGAAAGAGGAAAGGTTTAGGCTGTGGTTTCAGGCTGGTTGTGAAACTCACTCTGTTTGAGCAGAGCTGCGTCCCCCCTTCGTTTCCTGCGACCCCGTGGAGCGCCACGCGCCGGCCGCCTGCTCTCTTTCTCTTCCTGTTAAAAACACACACACACACACACACACACACACACACACACACACACACATTCCTACTAAAATCTTACACAAATTCACTTCAGAAACTGAATTAATGCGCTCACACATCACTGCAGCTCAGTCAGCTGAATACCAGAGTGCAGCAGAGTGTGAATTTAAGTGGGCTGATGTAAGTAGGATAAAAGTTAAATATGATTAACCCCTTTCACTTTGAGGGCCAGTTTCACAGACATGGATTAAGACTAGTCTTGGACTAAACCGAAGTATCAATAGTGGTTCACCACTGGAGACTAGGCTTAAGTTTAATCCGGGTCTGAGAACCTGACTTTATTGGTCTGGGTGTGTGCACTTGAATTCCTCACTCTCTATACAACTTACACATTAGTTTCATAGTAGATACTCAATAATTCATAGCAGTTACGGAATAATTAATTATGAATAGCAACTGAGAAAATGAACAGTAGTAACTGAATAATTTATTGTAGATACTGAATAATTCACAATATATACTGAATACTTCATTGCACTTACTGAATAATTCATAGTAGATACTGAATAATTTATAGTGGATCCTGAATAATTCATAGTAGATACTGAATAATTCATAGTAGATACTGAATAATTCACAGTAGATACTGAATAATCCATAGTAGATACTGAATAATTCATAGTAGATACTGAATAATTCACAGTAGATACTGAATAATCCACAGTAGATACTGAATAATCCATAGTAGATGCTGAATAATCCACAGTAGATACTGAATAATTAATTGTAGATACTGAATAATTCACAGTAGATACTGAATAATTCATAGTAGATACTGAATAATTCACAGTAGATACTGAATAATCCATAGTAGATACTGAATAATTCATAGTAGATACTGAATAATTCACAGTAGATACTGAATAATCCACAGTAGATACTGAATAATCCATAGTAGATGCTGAATAATCCACAGTAGATACTGAATAATTCATAGTAGATACTGAATAATTCACAGTAGATACTGAATAATCCATAGTAGATGCTGAATAATCCATAGTAGATACTGAATAATTCATAGTAGATACTGAATAATTTATAGTAGATACTGAATAATTCATAGGAGATACTGAATAATTCATAGGAGATAGTGAATAATCCATAGTAGATGCTGAATAATCCATAGTAGATGCTGAATAATTCATAGTAGATACTGAATAATTCATAGGAGATACTGAATCTATCTTAAGTTGAAAATGTAAGTTTGTGTTTCGACCAAATTATAATTATTTCTTTAAGACATTTTTGCAGTGAAGAAAAGACAGAATGAAAATGTGTGGTAAAAGGTGGTAAAAGAGGAACTCACATTGTCTTCCCCATCCTCCTCCACCTCCTCTATCACTCCGTCCATCTCTTCATTGCCCTGGTGTGGCCTCTTCCTGCTGACCCCTGTGACCTCTCCATTACTCCTGGATTCTCCTTTCTGAGACTTCAGTTCACTGCAGGACAGAGGAAATAGAGTTCATTCATCACAAAACTGGAGACAAAAACACAAACCACTGCACAGAAAGTCTCAAACTCTTTGTTCTAACTAGCCATCGGTTTGCTATGTTAAAATGTTTCATACATTCTGAGACATGAGAATATGAGATATATAGAATATGAATATTTGTGATATGAGAATATATCACAAATGTAGATTCTCATTTCCCCTACAAATTTTATAGACATCCAAATATATCACTGGCTTTATGGAAACAATAGGATCTTTAAAAAATCCAAATGATTTCTAAATTGTGCAAAAGTGAGTTCCAGAGTAATTAAAACAACAACAGCGAGCTGAAGCTCACTCTCTGTGAAATAAAAGAACACAATAAAAGAGCAGTTCAGTGTAAGTTGTGGCTGCTTTACACTGTAATCTTTCATTTAGTCACAAAACCATAATTAATCTAGTAATAAAGAACAGAATTGCGAGTGCCACACAAACTTTACAGTCCAAGGCTGCTTAGCTTTGCCCTCTTCTCTGAAGTCGTTCTGCCTGACATCATTTGAAACAACCCGTTTCGCCTGATTGTATGAGAGCCGAGACGTGACTTTACTCTGATTTCCTCTGGACCTGAAGCTGTTTGCTCTGATTTCTGAAAACTGACACTGCTGCAGTGAAATCTGATTTGTTTTCTGGGGGTGCTGTCACTGTATGATGGCCAATCAAATTATTACGATGTCCATCAAAGTTTGCCTTCTTTTCCTCAGCCCTGCCATAACCACTTTGCATCTGCTGCCATCTGCCATTGCCTCAAACATTCGGTTTGTTATCAGCGTACCAGTGTTTGAATATGAAGCTCTTGTTGCAGTTAAACGAAGTAACTGGGGACACGTAAAAGTGAGTTTCTGTCCCATAAAGAGTGTCATTTTCTACCAACATAAAGCCAAAAACAAATTTAAAAAGACTGTCAGTCATTGGCAGCATCAGTCTTCTGCGTATTTGGTTTTTATAAAGCGCTTTTACCACATGAGTTGAAATGGGTTGCACCAAAATGTCAATGTTTAATGTCCTTTCAATGCATCAAGTCATCAAAGGTAAGACATAAATAGCCCATAATCATTTTTCATTCTTGCCATTGCAGTGCTTTTGTCTATGATTGGGTTATATAATGATTATAATGATTAGGTTTAGGTTTTTAGGTTTGCCGTGTCCTCATCTTTGTGCTTCTCAGCTGTCTGATTTTAACTCGGTTATGTTGTCTTCATTGGGCAAACATGCCAGTGGTGAGCAGATGCTTTCTAGTGGAGGGTGTTGCTGTATTGGTTGTGCTTATGTAAATCCAGTGTTCCGGTTGATTGCTATTGTTTTGTATCAGGGTGGAAGTGCTGGAATATGTAGGGTGATGACTGCACTGCTGTCGGAAATAGGCTATAGCCTGATGTTATTACATTGCAGGAAACATAACATCAGTTTGCCAGCACTAAAAATGTTTCATTCATTCTGAACACACTCAAAATATATTCTTATATATTTTTGAATTTATCACAAATGTAGATCCTCATTTTCCCTCAAAAGACATCAACATTAACTCCTTGACTTTATGGGAAACAATGTAGAATGACAAACCAGCATGTTTATGAATGACAGTATGAGTAATAAAAACAACAACAACAATAATAAGTTGAAGCTCACTCTGCCTGGTGTAAGGTTTTGGTTGTTGTACACTGTAATCTTTCTTTTAGTCATTACACAGCAATTATTCTAGTAATAAAGAACAGAATTGTGAATGCCACACAATTTTTACAGTCCAAGGCTGCTTCTTTGAAAATGACCTTCTCAAGACCTGAGGCTGTTTGGTCTGATTTCTAAACCTACCACTAAGATAATGAGATCTGATTTGTCTTCTGTGAGCGCTGTGATTGTATGATGGCCAGTTAAATTATTATGATGTCCATCAAGCTTTGCCTTCTTTTCCTCAGCCCTGCATGAAGAAAAGTGCTGCATTTTGGGTGTGTTTTTGGTGCCGTATTTGCCATTTAACCCCACAACGTGTTGTTATTGTTTGGAAGTGTGTAAACATCCGTGTGATGACGTTTTGAGCTGAGCTATTCAGAGAGATCCTTCATCCCATTTGAATCGGCCAGTCAAATTACCCACAAATTACATACCCTCTGCTAAAATAGGGCTTTACCTACACAGAAAACCTTTATTTTTGTCCAGCTGATGGAAAATGGTGATTTGTGCATGTTCTGCATCTTTTATTACTAATTTATTTATTTCCAGTAAAATAATCTCATAGTTAGAAACTGCTGATTGGAAAATCTGTTCCCGTTGGCTTCTTCAACTCTGTGTTTCTGAAACATATGGACAGATTTTCTTCACTCCTCTCTCTCCATCTCTCTCGGTTGCCATGGTAGAGCTTAACCCTGGGAGAGAGAGGAACATAACACTCCTCCATGAGCAGAGACTCACTCTCCTTCCCCAACCAGAGCTGTAAAAACACACCGTCATGAGATTTCTGAAGGTGGTCATTGAACCGCATTGATTTTTGAATGTTTAAATTGATTATAAGTGATTTTAATAATAAAGCCTGCACAATTATTGACGGAAATACAGTTATCAGGCTATTTTAAATTGTAAATAAAGGTGTTGTTTTTATTTACGACGCTGCACTACCGTGTAAACGGCTCTTCCAGTTATATCACTGTTCAAAGTTTGGAATCACTTGTTATATTAACAATCTGAGTTACATTATATACGTTAGTAACTTATACAATGTAGATTTAAATCTTATTAACTACACTCTTAAAAAAGATGGTTCTTCCAGGGTTCTTTAGTAAAGAAAATGGTTCTATATAGAACCATGAACACTCAAAGAACCCTCTGCATGATTAAAAGGTTCTTTGCCTCATGTAAGGGTTCTTCGTATTGATGGAAATTGTGCATCAATGTGCTGTAGATGGTCAGGGTTCTTCTGACATTGTAACAATAAAAGAACCTTTTGGGTGCTATATAGAGCCATTCTCCATCAGCCTGAAGAACTTTTGATGATGCAAAGAACCCTGGGGGTTCTTTGAGTGTTCATGGTACTACATAGAACCATTTTCTTTACTAAAGAACCTTTTTTAAGACAAAACAAATGGGATTCTTTATTTTTTTTTCAATATTTACAGAATTTTGAGTTATAATATACTGTGAATTATATACTATAATCATATAATTACAATGGTTTTGACAAATTATTGACCTCAAGATTAGATGACCAGTTTTGGATATTGTTGTTATTAGAAGTTCTGAAAGTGCTCCATCTTTCTCAGTCACTCTTACTGTTTTACTGCTTCTTACTAATTAGTTGAAACTGAAACTTCAGTGTATTTTGCATCAGTGACACACACAGAGGTGCATCAATGTGAAATTTCTGGGTTGATAATAATAACCAATAATTCACACATTGCCAATACTGACACTAATATCCTAGTTATCAGTTGTATTTTTTTTAGTACTGGAGCGATATTAAATTTACACTATGAAAGCCTTGGGGATTTGGAGACCCCTCTGGCAGCGCTGTGTAACTGCATGCAACGTATGGAAGAACATCTGTAACGTGGGCTGTGCTTCGGTCCCCTTCCCCAAGCGGATGAATCTGATGATTGAAAGAGAATTTGAAGAGAACTCAGTCTAAACGTGGTGAAGGAGCGTCTTCTGAGGATGTGAGTGGATTATCGACTATCGTCATCACATCTTCATCAGTATGATGTTGATTTTGAGATCATGGGAGACCTAAACATCGAGCCGGACCTTCTTTTTGAGTTTGTGCGTGACGTTAAAATGTAAAGACGTACGACATGGTGTTAAAAACTCGACCCAATGCCTCTGACTTTTAAATGATTATTTCAGGGTTTACAATGTGACCATATTAATAATAATAATAAAATGATAAAAATGTTATATTTTGATAAAATATACATAGTGCAGCTTTAACAATTACATTTTCCCATTACAGGTGAATAATATTGTATATAGGCTGTTGATATATTATGCAATCCTCATGTACATTTAAAAAAACAATAAAACAACTGAATTCAATCAAATCGTGGTGAAATTTGAGATTTGTATTGTTTCCTAAAGAATCATAACCAAACTGAATCGTGAATCTTTGTGAGGTCTGAGATTTACACCTCTGTCTCCAACACAGTGAAGCCTCACGCCAGACTTTGGGCTAAAAGCATTCAGCAGCACTGCTGCATATATTAGCATATTAGCGCTAGCGTCACTGAGCCTTCACCTTCACACCCTGATGAATTATTACTGTGGTCCTGCCTTAGAGAGTAAGAGCAGACATGAGCATAAAGAGAGAGAGAGAGAGAGAGAGAGAGATAAGGACAGACAAAGAAAAACAGAGAGAGACAGACAGACAGACTGTAAGAGAGAGACACAAAGGAGGACGACAGAGCTAAACAGAGAAGAAAGAGAGAGACAGCGGGGGGTCTGAAGAAGACAGTGGGAGAAAATGTATCTTCATAAGACCCTGTTATGCATGATCGGGTTAATGTCAGTGTGATTGGTTATTATCGGTCATTACAAGCTTGTAGAAATATGAATTCATATCAATAAGTATTCAACATTATCGTTAAGTTAATATTAATTAAGAGATTCATTTTGTGTTTGGTAAATGTTTAGCAGAGGTTTAGTGAATGTTTGGGGGAGGTCTGGTGAAAGGTGATATTTGGGCAAGGTTGGGGTTTGGTTTAATGAGGAATAAAAATGATGAATGTTTGGTAGATGTTTGGTCAATGGCTAATCTTTAGGTTGGTAAGTAGTGGAGATTTAGTGAATTGTTGGGAGAGGTTTGGTAAATGTTTGAGTGAGGTTTTGTGAATGTTTAAAAGTGGTGTGCTGAATGTTTGAGAGAGGTTTGCTGAATATTTGAGAGAAGTTTGGTGAATGTTTAGGAGACGTTTTGTGAATGTTTACAAGTGGTTTGCTGAATGTTTGAGAGAAGTTTGGTGAATGTTTAGGAGACGTTTTGTGAATGTTTACAAGTGGTTTGCTGAATGTTTGAGAGAGGTTTGGTGAATGTTTAGGAGATGTTTTGTGAATGTTTGGGAGATGTTTTCTGAATGTTTACAAGTGATTTGCTGAATGTTTGAGAGAGGTTTGGTGAATGTTTAGGAGATGTTTTGTGAATGTTTGGGAGACGTTTTGTGAATGTTTACAAGTGGTTTGCTGAATGTTTGAGAGAGGTTTGGTGAATGTTTAGGAGATATTTTGTGAATGTTTGGGAGATGTTTTCTGAATGTTTGGGAGAGGTTTTGTGAATGTTTGAGAGAAGTTTGGTGAATGTTTAGGAGATGTTTTGTGAATGTTTGGGAGATGTTTTGTGAATGTTTGGGAGAGGTTTGGTGAATGTTCAGGAGATGTTTTGTGAATGTTTGGGAGAGGTTTGGTGAATGTTTAGGAGATGTTTTGTGAATGTTTAGGAGAATTTTTAATGAATGTTTGGGAGAGGCATTGTGAATGTTTAGGAGATGTTTTGTGAATGTTAAGGAGATGTTTTGTGAATGTTTGGGAGATGTTTTGTGAATGTTTAGGAGATGTTTTGTGAATGTTTAGATGTTTTGTGAATGTTTGGGAGAGGTTTGGTGAATGTTTGGGAGATGTTTTGTGAATGTTTAGGAGATGTTTTGTGAATGTTTAGATGTTTTGTGAATGTTTGGGAGAGGTTTGGTGAATGCTCCGAGCATGGTGAATGTTTGGTTAACCTCTGGGAGAGGCCTGTTTTGGCTAAAACAGATCACTCCGTTGTTCACTCACTCCTGCTGGTCCTGCTGTAGGCAGCGTTCACTGCAGTGGCGTCCATCAGACAGAAAGTCCACTGCAGAGCCCTTCCTGTTACAGTGCACACACACCAGGCCACGCTGCCCCCACAGATCCACCTGCACCTTCTCCGCCAGAGCTGTGGACCAAACCAAACCTCATATTAGGACTAGAGGAAATGTAAACATAGCTCATAAAAAAGCCAGTGAGTGGAAGCACAAGGCGGGTGTTTCTAATAAAGTGGCCAGTGAAGAGAAGCAAAAGGTGGGTGTTTCTAATAAAGTGGCCGATGAGCAGAAGTACAGGGTAGGTGTTTCTAATAAAGTGGCCATAATGTGAAGTGCAAGGTAGGTGTTTACAACAAAGCGGCCAGTGAGTGGAAGCACAAGGTGGGTGTTTCTGATAAAGTGGACACTGATATCATTAGTGAAAGTCAGCACTTATCAATGCTCAAAATCATCAGGAGTCTGAATCACCTTCGAGACAAAAAAGTTTCAATATGACAATAAGAGCTTTTACCAATCATTTGGAAAACAAAACTGTTTCATTATTATTTAGCCAAAACCTGCTATTCATACCAAGGATGACACTTTGAAGATCATAAGTCTGAGTGATGAGAATAAAGAAATATAAACTTTGAGAAAATTGAAATTTAGGTAACAAAGTATGACCAAACGTGTGTGTGTGTGTGTGTGTGTACTTGCCCTCCTGTGCGGTGGGTACACTCCATGTGGTTTTAGCGTGAGCCTTCTTCACCCCCTCCTCATCGCCCTCGTCCGTTATGACCTCCAGCACCCCAAACTCATTCACCCGGAACTGAGACAAAGCACACACACACTCACACACTCCTGCTGCAGTTCTTTGTTGTGAGAATATCCCAAAATATAATACGAATATCGCTGCTGTCAGAAGAAAACCTCGTATCTCCCAAATTACACCTTTACAGGAGAAGGAAAAAACCTGCTTTACTTTTGATGTAAGTCAGTGGAACCAGAATTTTTTCCAAGTGATTCTGGGTCGTTTCTTTTGGTCCATTCATCATGAGATTTATATATAATGTAAAGGGCAACAGGCATTTTCAAATTAGGCCAAAAACTGAAAAACAACAAAAATGGAGATACGAGGTTTTCTTCTGACAGCAGTGATATATTATGATATATGTGAATGTCTGCGCTTTTATGTGAGCACATAGTAGAGCTGTCAAACCATTAAAATAATTAATGACTTGTTCAACTGTGTCTTATTTGTTCAATTTGAACCTAAAGACAGTTGTTTTCATATATAAAGCAGTGCATTTTGTCACAGCTGTAGCTGTATGAGTGGACAAAATAAGCTTCATCAGAATCTTCGTATTATTTTCAGTAATTAAGTAACATTATTTCAATCGTGCAACGCAAAAAACCTGAACACAGAGTGAACCCAGTTTCCAATTTTCATCACCAACGTCCAGTGAGAGCCCACGGTGTTCCAGCCAATGACTGGATATATCATATATATCATATATACAGTACTGTGCAACAATCAGAGACCTTCCATCATTTGTTTAATTACCAGCCAAAACAGCCTCAACAGCTAAATCTACTATCAGTTATTCAGTATTTAGTGAGTCACTCTTCACCTTCATTCCAGCTTTCACTCTGTTCAGGAGCCTCACTTTCAGCTCCTCAAAGAATCTGCAGACACACCTCCAAAGTCCAGTCTTAGAAGCTGGTTGATCATTTTCTGAACTAATCGAACACATTCAGTGGTGTTGAGGTCTGGACTCTGGGGTGGTCAGTCCATCGTTCAGCTTCTTTGTTTGATGTGTCCGTCTCCTTTTCTCAGTGAGGTTCTTCTTGATCAGCTACACATCCTTTCAGACCCACAGCGCTGAGTCGTCTTCTCACAGCGGAAGGATGGACAGAAACACCTGTGGATGTTTTCAGATCTGAAGCAGCTTGATTTTCTCCTCTCTCTCAGAGATGAAAGCTTTAAGTGCTGTTTATCTGATGGGGGCAGTTTTGGGGGCTACCAGGTCTTCCAGGTGGTTGTTAGGAGCCCCATTTTCTCTGGAGCTTTTAATCATGTTCAACTCCAGTTTTGGAATTTTTGATTTTCTTATTATACATGTAGATTATCTTGTACCTAATCTCCCCAGAAATGTCTCCTAAAACTGTAATATCTTGTACTTAACAGCCATCCTGACAGGAAATCGAAAGACCCCTGTGTTTTTTAAACAGTTAAGTCCTGTTTAACGGTTTATTATAATATATAGAACGTTTTTGGAGTAAAATGTGTTACCACAGCGCAAAGTTAACATTTTTCCATAGGAAACCCAGTTTTTCTCAGTGCATCTGAAAAACTGATTCGTGAGGTGCTAGATAGTAGTCTAGAACGCTATTGAATAAGCTTGAACTCATCACGGTCCAAGATACTACAAGATACAACAAGGCTAACGAGAGGGAACGTAGCTACTGCAGCAGCGCTAATGTAGCTCACTGCGAATCAGACAGTTCAATAATGGCTTTTACAATTACGACAGCGTCAAACTTACAATCCAGATCTTTCTATTAATCTCTCAAAGTGTAAGTAAAAAGGCTCAAATCTGAGGCAGTGAACCTGTTTTGCACGTTGAGCCTTTAGCTGTGCTACTCTTGCTCCACCATACAGCCCTATTTCGCACCAGAAGCTAACGTTAGCTTAGCGAACAGGCTAAAACAAGACAAAGGATGGAGGATGAAGACTCAAATCTGAGGCAGTGACCCTGTTTTAGTGTGTTGAGCTGCTAGCTATGCTATCATTACTGTTGCTCCATTGTACTGTCCCTGTTAGCACCTGAAGCTAGCGCTAGCTTAGTCAGCACATTAAAACAGCTTCACACACCACAACAAAGGTTCGATACCTGCAGTTTAGAGGATAAATGCTGCCTTAAAGTCGTGTCTGAGATATCGTATTTACGAGATGGAGGTACGCGAACGGCACCACAATGTCGTATTTACTAGTGGGAAACTCGGATTTTTCAATGAGCCCCGAGTTTCCGAGTCGGGGGCGTCAACAAAAAACCAATGATAGCCGCTGATAATATAGTATTAGTATAGTATATGATAATAATAGTATTTCAGTTATTAATCAGCCACAACATCAACACTGCAGGCTGAAACCATCCACACATGGACATACAGATACACTGTATATTCACAGACTCTGTTTAATAACAGAAAAATAAAAGTAAACCAACATTATTTCCACTTATTTCCAACCAGAACCACTTGAGCACAAATCAAGTCGTACTTATGACCCCTGAAGTCGTAAGTAGGAACTTCTGAGGAGACTTGAAGGCAGCAAAAGACTCAAATCTGAGCAAGCACTTTCTCTTCCCCGGCACTGTTCAGCATTTAGCAATAGTTGTTCAACTTATTAACATTTAATGAAATATGAATTATCACTAATTTAGTTTCTCATTATTAACGTTAAAGTAGGAGCTATTTTTTCTCCGTTTAGCTCCGTCTCATCTGCTCAGTCTGTTCAAATATAGAGGTCTGTTTTCCTCATTCGCCAAACGATAAAGCACAGCGCCAGAGAACTTGCAGTGAGGAGAATTACTGCTCTGTAATGTCTTCCGGGTTTCTCAAACACTAGAGGGCGCTCCTGAGTGAGTCCAAAATGAATGAGTTGATATGGAGCGTTTGAGCAAAATCATAGTTCATAAATGTTGAAACATTTTTAATGTAAAAGAATTCGATCATTTCCTGAACACAGAGCAGCATAAAACATCTTAACACCTCTGTTATATTTTTAAGAGCTTTTAAACTCGAGTTATAGGAGTTTAAAACGGCGCCTCATGTACGTTTATGACATCAGTGAGCGCGAACAGCCAATGAGCTGCTCCGCTGCCAACCAATCAGCACTCAGTAGCAGTAATGTTAGCGTCCTGCTGCCTAAAACCCGTTTACTGTAGAATAAAGGAAACATACAGGTGAGATTTCTTTGTTTTTTTAGTGAAACACATCCTTCTACTGTCTAAAATTAAAGGAAAGTTCTGGTTCAGTGATTAGAAACTATTTAACTTTTCGTTTTTAGCTGTTGAGCTCTGTTTTCTCCCATTCATTGACGACTTGCTCGTGGGCGCCCTCTGCTGTTTAGCAGTCCTATTTTTTATATAACGGGGGAAATAAGAAGTGGCCAGACTCCTCATAAACCGCTCTGACGGTGCCTCTGGTGGTGAAGGGGAGGGGGCGGGGCTTGAAAATCAGGAGACAAGGGACACATTTACAATTTGCATAATCATGCATATTCACAAATCTTTGCATTCCTAATGAGCGATGCAGTTTAGGAATGCTACTATAGCGTTTTTAGTACCTGGGCATTCCAATAATACACAATAACGCATATAAATATGATATATTAAATAAATGAAGGGCTTTCTCAGACTTTTGCACAGCACTGTATGAGCTCATTTTTTAAATAAATATTTTCAGGGTATTTTTAAGCGTACTGTTTTATTTTAATTTAGTCTCCCTCGTCAACAAACATTGTATCTCCTTAAAAGTGACTTTTCAGTAAAATAAAAAAATTAACTTTTAATGTAAGTTAATGCAATAAGATTTTATTTGAAGTCATTTTGGGCCGTTTTATTGATCTGTTCATCATAAATATGTGAAACAATGTAAAGGACAGCTGGCATTGTCAAGCAATGTGCAAAAATGAAAATGAAAAACAACAAAAATGGAGATATGGAGAAGGTTTTGTTCTGACAGTGATGATATGTTGTCAGCGCAATTTTACTGGCTTTCAAAAATAACAATTCAGAAACATCAAAGATTAAAAACAGTAATAAAATGAAATAAAGTAATCCTTAACCATACCACAATCAATCAAATATCAGATCAAGATTTGATATTTCATTATATTTTGCCTCAATGTTGTGATAAATAATAATAATTATATTAATAATTAAAATAACAGTAATAATAATGACAATAGCAGCTGGGAGCGGTCTTGCACTGACCTTCAGCTGGCTGCCGGGGAGGGTCCCCACTCCGTCTTTCCACTCCATCGCTCCGTACACGTCAAACTCAGGCCCCGCCGTGCTGGGGGCCGACTCCTCCATGGCAGACCACCCGTCTGAAACACAGACACGCAAACAGCTACTTACAGCTGTGGTCAACGACTCACAAAGCTGTTTGAGTTTATAGATAAAACGGTCCTCTCTTTGGTCAGTCAGTCTGTTGTCAGTGTCAGAGAAGGCCTGAACAAAGAATACATGTCTGCACTTTTAAGTCCACTTTTATTTAATATTATCTTCATGCTTGATGCCTTTAATCTCTGCAGGTATTGTGGGAATAGCCTTATTAAAATCCTGTATCTAAATATGGTCCAATCAGGATTGTTTTCTCTGTGGTATCTAGGTAGAAACAGCCAAGCTGCTCTCCCATTGGTTAGGACTTCAGGAGCTGGACAGAAGGCCTTACACACTGGATTAACTACCACCATGATTAGGAAGCGACAGAGGAATCAACCAATCATGTTATGATTTACAGTGGGACCGATTCTGTGACGTCACTCTAGTCCTTCTGGAAGTTCTAGATACGTCACTGACTGTGAATACAAGTCGTAGTCTAAGCAGTGTTCCGGTTAGTTGTTAGGAATGGAAAACAGCGGCGGCAGCTCTAGCAGGACTCTTTACTGAGAGACTCACTGTAAAACTGATACAAGATCAGATATATGATAATATCCGATACAAGCTTCAAACGTCTGTGTTTAATCTAGAGCGGACAAAAAACGCTCCTGTCCAGTGTTAGCTTAGCGCTAATATACTACTAGAATCCCACAGGGGTGAAAATTAGCACCATAGAGGTGTTTTTAAGCGAGTGTTGACATTTACGGCCCAAACTGAAGGCCTACACTCATAAAAATGATGGTTCTCCAAGGGTTCTGTAGTAAAGAAAATAGTTCTGTATAGAACCATGAACACTCAAAGAACTTGTTTCAGTGTCAGGCTTGTAACAACAGCAGAACCCTTTTCAAAAACTCCAGCAGCTCAGCTGTGTCTGATCCACTCGCACCAGCGCAACACTGCAGTAACACTGACGTGGTGGTGGTGTGTTAGTGTGTGTTGTGCTGGTCTGAGTGGATCAGACACAGCAGTGCTGCTGGAGTTTTTAAACACCTCAGTGTCGCTGCTGGACTGAGAATAGTCCACCAACCAAAAATATCCAGCCAACAGTGTCCTGTGGGCAGCGTCCTGTGACCACTGATGAAGGACTAGAGGATGACCAACACAAACTGTGCAGCAGCAGATGAGCTATCGTCTCTGACTTTACATCTACAAGGTGGACCGAAAAGGTAGGAATGTCTAATAGAGTGGACAGTGAGTGGACACAGAGAAACAAACGGACTACAGTCTGTAACTGTAGAACTACAAAGTCTCGCTCTCGATTACACCTCGCCAGACATGCTGCAATCTACTGATCAGCCAGCAGAGGCCGCTGCCGCCTGCATTTCATCCCCAGCGCTGCAAACTTACTTCCAAGCTGCTGTTCAACAATGAAATCACTGTGTAAAAAAAGAAAATAAAAAAATATATAAAAATAAACCACATTTTTAAGAGTTTTGCCTTGAATTTCAGCACAAAATAAAACCACAACGCAGTCCTGCAAGGCTGTTCCAGCGCTGTAACCTGCTTTATGCTCTATGCTGAAGGTAAATAACGCTGATAAAATAAATAATACACACATATTTACATATTTATACCCGGTGCATGGCGTTCAAGCACGATCTGCATGACAACAAATGCATAAAATATGAAAAAATACACACCCAGAGTACGAAAGAGCCCTTCAACAGCTCTGAATACTCACCCTATATCACATGCACCACAGCTTAAATTGGTTTTGGGCGTTTATTTGAGCCTCTTCTTGGATATATAAGAGTCTATACTGTTATATACTACGTGTAGTATACATACGGAGAGTCTCGAGCTCCTGTTTCTCCCTACAAAGGAGGACGAAGAGCTTAAAAAAGCTGCACTTTTACTATTAATTCTGATTTTTTAAGCTTTTTTGGACAAACAGGGGGTCGGGAATAACGCGAGTGTGTATAAATGTCTCGAAAATGAAGTTATGTTGCTATTCGCCACCTTCTGATTCGAACTCCCCGGTCCACCTTAAATGGCGCGGCAGTCCCATTCTAGCGCCTCAGGCGCTAGAATGGGACTGCCGCGCCATTTAAGGTGGACCGGAGAGTTCGAATCAGAAGGTGGCGAATAGGAAGCTCAACTTCAGCCTCGTGAAACAAACACCCCTCACTGGCGGCTGCGCGACACAAAAAAGGCAGAATAACCTGAATTATTCGCGGAAAGGAAACGCCAGTAAGAGAAACGTGGGCACGTCTAACGCGTGTCTATGTGGTGCGTGTGTTTTGTCGGCAGCTCCAGTTCCTGCCGTCTCCGCTCGAGCGCCTTGAATGAAACCAAAACCATTTATTTCCACCTTTGCAATAAAGCGTGGAAATAAATGGTGCTTAAAAACAATTTTAAGCATCTACAAACGCACCAAAACACACGTCCCCCCCCCATCCCGGCCCCCCCTCCTCCAACCGGACTGGTCATTTTTACGCGTAACCACACTGACCCCCTCTTCTTCCTGCAATTATTGATGACACGTCCTGGCGTTTTTCTTTTTTCTTTTTTTTTCTGCTCTTTTTTCTTTTTTTAGGTACTTTATTGCGAAGTTTAACTCCGATTGCGCCTCGAGGAACGTCCGCACAAACTCCGAAATTGCGCCAAACGCCTAGAATAAAAGTCCCGGTGCCAATAAAAGAGGTCCTATTCTACGTTAGAGTTGTTTTAATTCTGTTTTCTTACCCCCAAATTTCTCCCACGAGTACACAGAGAGAGAGAGAGAGAGCGAGAGAGAGAGAGAGAGGGCTGAGGCAGTGGCCACCGCGCATGCGCACTGCTGCTGCTGCCTGCTCACCGAGCACATGATGCACAAATCCAAAGTTTGCCTCTGCATCCACAGATACGGACTAAATTCGACTTCGCAGCAACCCCCCCAGCAGAGCTAGAGCCCATGCATATGCATGTTTATGATGCTTTATTAGGCGTAATAAACGCTTATTACGTTTATTTCGCCCCCCTTTCAATCCCCACCCCTTTGGTTTGGCTACTAAAAATAACACAGTGGAGCTGAAATGAAGCACAAACTGCTTAAACAAGAGGTAAACATGCACTCACTTCAGCCTCCTGCGTCCCGAGATGTGCCGCACCGAGGCTCTCCGACCGTGGGCACACCTGCAGTGCTGCTACAGGGAGGAATTAAAGGGGAATTCCACATATTTTTGAAAACTCCCACATAATTCAGTGGTTATGACGCAAGCAAGGTCGTGCAGGGTGGTTTGGTGTGAAACGCTCTGTTATAGAGAAACTTACAGAGTCAGAACTGTTCACAGTGGTGGTGATAGGAACCAGACGTCCACCTCTCAAAGCTCCCTCACTGAAAGGTATTATGTGAAATGGTTATTAATTTACTGCCTGCCCATATGGACATGTGTTTATATATATATATATATATATATATATACACACACACATTACAAATACATCACAGTTGATGCAATAACACTAAAATGTATTTCAGAATATATTGCCATATTAACCAAATATATTTTCAAATGCATGGGGAAAAATGTGTAAGTGTAAATATATGAAAGTAGCCAAAATACTCTTTAATCTTTTAATGGATACCATTTCAAATGAAGTTGTATTCCAGTATCTCAATTTTAAATATGATCAGATGAAGCTTTAACATGACAGAAGCGAGTGTTGTGGGTATTGATACTCTGTGAAAATGCAGTTGAAGTGCATTGTGTGTGTGAGTCTCACTGCAGATGTGAATGTAAAGTACAGTGCAGATTAAAGAAGTCAGTACTGTTTAGTTACATCTGTTACTTTATTAAAAGTACATACTGAAACTGAAACTGAAAAAATGTAATGACAAATACAAATAAAAGCATTTAAAATGATATTTAGCTAATTTTTGGCCAGTTTGATACAATGCAAAAATATATTTCACAAAAAATAAAGAGGTTTAGACCTACGCATTTTTTTTTTTTTTACATTTTTCACTACTTTCCCATCATCAACATTCCATATAAACTCAGAAGACTCGTGTAGGTTCACTGGTGATTTTGGATAGTAAATAAAATGTCTTTATTTGTGTTGTAGTCATGGCGACCCCTGGTTCCTATCACCACCACTGTAAAGACATCTGAACCATTTCACACCAAACCACTCTGAATCACTCTGTTCACATCTCACACATTGAATTACATAGAAATTTTGAAAAATTGGTGGAATTCCCCTGGGAGTAGTTTGGCATATGAAATGCACTGTGGTTTCTGACACTGTGTGACAGACTGTTAAACAAAAAGATGGACAATATACAGGCTCCACGACGGCTGCTACTGTTTTTAACCATGCTAACATACTTTAGTCAGCAGGGATGCAGGACAGGGGGGCAGCTGAGGGGCTGCAGCAGCCCCAGATTTCAGAACTGCAAGTGACAATGAAAGTAATAATAATGATAATAAAATATTCTGAACTTTGTATTTTTTGAGGATAGTAAAGAGTCACGTGTGCCTGTTTTAGAGTGGAATTTGTTTATATATTTTAAAAATATTCAGTAGCCATGAATGAGTATTTTCCTTACAGTGGGCCGCTTTGAGTCCGTGTCACAAAAACAATGTAAGTTAATAGGATTTGGATCCGTTTTTGAACAGATCATGCTTTGCGATGTAGATGATGCAGCATTTATCACTCAGACGCTTGGATCATACTTTGTTTTTCATAAGCTACAGCGTCTAATGGATCCTTTCAGAGTGGCCTCTTGTTTTAATGTGATATCTGAGAGATTAGTGCCCAGTGTTTCTCCCTCTTGTTCATTCTATCTGTGCGTGTGAAAGAGAGAGAGAGAAGTATTGACCCATGCTGTCCTTGTTTCCAGTGAACCTGATGTCAGTCCAGTGTTTGTTGCTCTGCATAATGACCACTACTGAACCCAAATCTACAGCAAAACATCACAGCCCGTAGGTCGGTTTATCTAAAGCAGCCTTCAGATATGGAAATAAAAAACCTGTGTGGTGATTTATAGTAGCTGTACAAAATAGAACAATGAAATTAATGTATAATAAAAATACAAAATGAAATGTGTACTGTAAAAAAAGATTGTACTGTAAAATTACAGTAAACACAGGCTACTAGTTGCATAACTTTCACAGTATTTTACCAAACCATATTAACAGTACATAATAGTAAAATAGCAGCTGTATATTATAACCCCATTTCCAAAAAAAAAGTTGGGACGCTGTGCAAAATGTACATAAAAACAAAATGCAATGATGTGCAAATCATTTAAACCCTGTATTTCATTGAAAACAGTACAAAGACAACATATCAAATGTCGAAACTGAGAAATTTTATTGTTATTTGAAAAATATATGCTCTTTTTGAATTTGATGCCAACAACACGTTCCAAAAAAGTTGGGACAGGGGCCTGTTTACCACTGAGTTTCATCACCTCTTCTTTAACAGCACTCTGTAAGCATTTGGGAACTGAGGAGACACTGCTGTAGTTTTGAAAGTGAAATGTTTTCCATTCTTGTTTGATACAGGATTTCAGCTGCTCATCAGTTCAGGGGCTCATTTTTCATATTTTTCATTTCATAATGAGCCAGATGTTTTCAGGGGGTGACAGATCTGGACTGCAGGAAGGTCAGTTTAGCGCCTGAACTTATTTAATAAAGAGCCATGCTGCTGTAATACATGCAGAATGTGGTTTGACTTTGTCTTGAAATAATCAAGGCCTTTCCTGAAAAAGACATTATCTGGATGGCAGGATATGCGGTTATGTACTGTTAAGATATACTCTAACAGTACGTAACATAACTTATATATTGTATTTATAGTATTATGTGTATACATACATGTATATATCATTCATAGATATATTTATAATTGTGTATGTATGTCTATCTATCTATCAAAACATGTACATGTGCCATGCCATGTGCAGTAATGCCCCCTATACCATCAAGAATACTGGCTTTTGAACTGTGCACTGATAACAAGCTGAGTTGTCTTTAGCCCGGAGGACACAGTGTCCAAGATTTCCAAAAAGAATTTCAAATGTTGATTCGTTGGACCACAGGACACTTTTCCACTTCCCCTCAGTCTGTTTTAAATGAGCTCAGGCCCAGAGAAGGTGGCAGCGTTTCTGGATCCTGTTTATATGTAGTTTCTTCTTTGTGTTTTAGAGTTTTAATTATCTTTTTGTGGATGCAGTGATGAACTGTGTTCACAGACAGTGGTTTTCAGACTATTTGCACTATTTGATCGAGCAGTCTTTCACAGAGTGGTGAACCCCTCCTCATCTTTACTTCTGAAAGACTCCGCCTCTCTGAGATGCTCTTTATACCCAAATCATGTTACTGACCTGTTGCCAATCAACCTTCCAGGTATTTTCACAACTTTACCATGCTTTTGTTGCCCCCATCCCAACTTTTTTGGAATGTGTTGTTGGCATCAAATTTTAAATGGGCATTTTTTTCCAAAAAACAATAAAATTTCTCAGTTTCGACATTTGATTTACTGTCTTTGTACAATTTTCAATGAAAAATAGGGTTTAAATGATTTGTACATCGTTGCATTTTGTTTTTATTTACATTTTGCACAGCGTCCCAACTTTTTTGGAAATGAGGTTGTATAGACGTATATCTACTATATATAACTTTTTAATTGCTATGGTATCTTAAGTACTCGCTAAGGTATTCTAAAATAAAAGCAAAAAATATCAGTGAATGTATTTGTTCACCATGGTTTGCACTGTATATACACAGAATATCTCAAATATGCATTAAACATAATTTGCTGTGTTATTACAGAAAATATCTCAAGATGGGTTCATTTCACAATAAAATAACATTTACAGTTTTGTTAACTGTGAAATCCTGGCAGTAATTAACAGTGTCCCTGATAGCAGGAGGATAGAGGGCCACTGTTGTCCTGCTGATGGCAAAACTGGCGGTCAACTGGCATTTTGCTCAGCGTTTTCCGGGCTGCCCACCGGTGGTTAAGCAGAGTATTAAACAAAATTCCACTTATAATTGCTTATTTTCCACTCACAGTCCAGTTTACTTATTTTTCCTTCCTTCCTTTTCTTAGTTATACTTTGTAAATTATTAAATTATTTCAATCTAGCTCAGTGTGAGCAACAACATTTTCTATTAAATCATTTTATATCAGGCCTAGTCATTATTTTTTTTCTTTCAGCTGTTTTGTAATATTTGTCTAAGTTTATTTTCTAAAATAAAAGTCTCTGTGCCTTTAAAATCTGTTTGAGCAGTTAGAGCTAGTTAGAAACTAGTTATAAACTAGTTAGAACTTGTATGCAGGAATCTGGGCGGTCCGAGGGGGGGGGGCCAGCAGTGGCAAACAGTCAGTGGGGTGCCGACCTTATCAAGCCAGCGGGCTGATATATGCTTGCTATTTGGGGTGTAATATATCAATGTATATATAGGAATATACGAATTTATTACCTCATAAAAACAGCATCCTTCGCAAAATAGCATGCAGGTCATCTTTATAGGCCACAACAATGTTTGGTAAAGGAAGAGTTATTAGAAAAATGGCAAGAAGGCCCAAAAATAAGCAACTTGTGAAGATATATTTGTCATACGCGCCTTCAGCCAGTCATAATCGACACTTATTCTGCTTCAGTGTGACTAATAGTGAAAATGAAGAGCACAGTTCTGGGTGAAAGTGCATTCTGTTCACTGATTACTCACAATATGCACTTTTTTGCTGTTGGGCTGAACTGTTTGTTAGTTAGCTGACCTGGAAAATCACCCTCCTCTCTTTTGTTAGCAATAACAGCTGTAGAGCTAATGTTAGCACAGACCATCGTGCATTTCATGCTGGTCTAAACTGGTTTATGCTGGTTCATGCTTGTCTAATGCTTGTTTGATGCTGGTTTAGCATGCCAGCCATGCTGGTCTATGCTAGTTTTACTAGCAGGGCTGGAAGATCCTTCTGCTTTCTCTTCTTAGTGACAGCAGTTGTAAGGCTAATGTTAGCCGGCTGGTGAGGAAGATCACTCTTCTCTCTTTCATTAGAAATGGCTGTTGTTTGGCTAACATTAGCCAGCTGATCTGGAGGATCACTCTGTTCATTTTAATTAGCACTTCTGCACATTTTAATCCTGTTTATTTGCTGAGTTTAACATATTGGAGAAATTAAATCATAAAACATAAAATGTTTTGCTTGTTAAGCTTTGCTTTAGCAAATGAACAGTAATTGTGTAGACGGTGTGTTAACTTTTCAGTTAGCAAAATTTGTCTGGCCCTCTTGTGGCCCACATCCTTGTGTTTGTTATGGCCTGATATACAGCTCGGTCCTCTGCCCAGATCTGGCCCACATACTGTAAAGAAGAAGAACTAGACGTGCCCCAAATCGTTGTAGGTCCCTGACATTCACACCAAAAGTGGGCCAGAAATATAGACATGAGAGAAAGCTGTGTGAAGTTATCCAGGATATGGCTCTTTTCTGGCCTACATGCCTAACATCTGCATGGTAGTCAACTATCACTTACATAGGAGAACCTAAATCGGCCCAGGACTGCCTGCTATCTGGATAATCTTCACTTATAAAATCAACATGTCATTTGACCAGGGGTGCACAAATTTTTGCACACAACTGTATGAATATCATTTGTTTTGAAAAGATAGGCTAAATAAAATAAAATAAAAAAATCACTGAATATATATGGTTTGCACTGTATATGCGTAGAGTATTTCAAGTGTGCATTTTAAATGTAATTTGCTGTTTAATTACAGAAAATATCTTAAAAATGGTTCATTTTCACAAAATAATAGTTATTTTTTACTTTGAAACCCTGGAAATAATGAACAGTGTATAATATTTTGGTATATATACATGGAAATATACAATAAAATGTGTGCTAAATTCATTACCAATAACGGCTGTAGAGCTAACATGAGCTAACGGACCTAATGCAAGATTAATGTTTATTTGCTGGGTTTAACATGTTGGAGAAAATGAAATATAGAATATAAAATGTGCCATAACAGCAACTATCGAGCTAACATATGCAAGCTAATCTGGAGAACCACTCTCTAGTCATAGCTGTCATAGCTGATCTGGAGGATCGCTTTGCTTTCTCTCAATAGCTGTACCAGCACTGATATGTGTCCATCCGTTTGTGTTCCAAATGTTATTATTTTGTGTGGTCATAGTAGATACCTTTAATTGATGAACAACAACATAAACAATATTTAAATCCCTTTTCCTGAGGGGCCACGATTGCCATGAGGTTCCTGGCATGACCATCGACAAGGCCACACCTCACACCTTGTGTCTAGAAGCCAGCGCCAGCCAGTATCGGGTCACTACAATATGCTAAACCACAACCAAAGAATTTCACCCATCACTTTATCCATCATGTAAAAAAAAATACATCAAATTCATTCATCATGTAAAAAAGCACTCATGGTAAACCTTGTGTAGTGACTCACAATCCAACTCATTACTGCATTAATATCTGAAAAAGGATTTTCAGGATGTGAACAGAGCCAGAAGACAAGCTGTAATCAGCTAATAATTAAAGTAAAATGGCTTGTCTTTGGTTTTATTGAGATGTGTAGTCATTATGATGGATGACATTGTGGCTGTGCTGCTCTGTCAGTAGTCCAGGCAGCAGTTCTTCGAGAAACTAAATCAGCTTTTGATTCAATTTCTTTTCCAAATCTAATCAATAATGTTCTTCCCTGCACGGTAGCAAGTTCAAACCAAACCGCCCTCCTTCAAAAATCCTTCAGACTTCATATCACATCATTAAGTCTGACCCACTGAGGCTCTATGTAGAGAGACTGGACATTTTTGGTGTCTAAAGTACTTGACTTTTTTGTCCCATTTCAGAAAAGAATGCTTTTTCATTCCTGGAACATCGCGCAGAATATTATGAATGTGTAATACCACTGCTTTACTACTACTGATACTACTGAGGCTAATATACCAATACTAATATCAATACTTTCAAAATCAAGCAACTTAAGGTGTGAAGTGCTTGGACCCCAATGATTGCCACACGTAGGCCATTGTTTCGCTCTCAGTGGAAAGTCAGGTATCTTTGTGGCTTCTAAAGTGAATCTCACTTTTACACAAAGGTGCCTGGCTGTCCATTGAGAGCGAAACTATGGCCTACAATTTACATCACACGTGGCAATCACTGGGGTCCAAGCACGTCACACCTTATGCAGAGAGTAAAGGACTTTTAGCAAATAGAACACAAATGATGGGTGGAAGTTTTACAGTGGCATCTATTTATAATCACTCTAGAGGCAAAAGCAGATGTCTGCCAAATTTTCTACATACTGACTTTTTGACCTTGGTATGGCAAGCAATAGGTTTTTAACAAATAAGTCTAAATACACCGCAAAAATGTTATCTGGTCAAGTAAAATTATCTTATATATGGTTAATTATTAACTATATTTTTAGACAAATTTTACTTGCTTTAAGTAATTTTATCAAGCAAAATTGTCTCACTATATTGGCAGATAATTTTGCTTGTTGTGCTTGAAACCAGCAAAGTTATCAGCCAGTATAGTGAGATAATTTTACTTGATAAAAATGAACTGAATCATTCTATAGCAATTACTTTTTGTCTGTGTATTTTATTCTCAGGGTTAAAATCACTAAAAAGTTTTCTCCTGGGGGGACTAAGCCTCCAGGACCACCCAGAGGGGGGTGGCTCTTTTATCATTGCTTATGAATTTGCATGTCTGAATATGATAGGTTTGAAATGATTAGTCTGCTGAATGTAAAATACAATTAGTAATATCTGGAATGAGCTCTAGTGGTGTGATTGATGCTTAATAAAGTGTTCTCTTTGTAACAAATGTGTTTAGAGTTATTATGAGATAATATGGAGCTCTATGAACTTGAAGGCAATTTTGTGGCCCTTGAACAGAAACTAGGGCTCCGCCAAAAAAAAAAAAAATCGTAGAATTACAAATGCAATCAAAGCTGCCAATTGTACACTAACAAGGTAGCTTTGTTCATTCTCAGTTATTTGAATAACAGTGAGTTCTGAGTGATGTTCACATCTCCAGTTTTGTACCCACACGGGTCATAAAGCTTAATGCAAAGTTAATAAATTATTTAGAAGTGGCTTTACTGGACAAAGAAAAAGACCCCCAGATAAACTATAAATGTGACACACATCACTTTGTGCAAGCCAGGCCCGGGGGGTTGGGGGTTTAATCTGGCCCAGATTGAGGGAAACCTCTTAGCGTGTTGCTAATCCCATTAAGACCTGCCCTCACAGTCACACACACAGTTAGCGATACGCTACCTGCTAGCGCTGCTAGGTTTGTGATTGTACATGTGTTTGTGTGTGTGCGAGCACATGTGTGTGTGTGTGTGTGTTCGGCATTAAAAAAATAATCGGCGGCCATTCATGTTGTTGGACTACTGCTGCCGGTGCTGTGGGACCACTCTGATCAAACGGCATGGCCACCTGCCAATCAACAGCAAGCTGAACGACACCTGGGTAAAGCTATTTATCTCTCTTTCAGTCCAACTGCAGCAAGTGCTACGAAAGCTAGCTGAGACGGCTCCCTGCTCAGAGTTAAAGTGGGATCAATAACTACGCCACAGCAGCCACAGATTACCCATCATACATTCACTGTAATCTGTCAAGATTTTCTGCTAAAGTTATGCTGAACAAACATGCTAACATGGCTAACAGTGGCTACAACCTGTGGTTTTATGCTGTAATTTGAATAATGCTAAGTACTGACTGTTCACTTACATGTGTTGTTAGCAACATTAGCGTTTTCTGACCGGCCCAGTTTCCAAAAAAGGCATCTTAGTGTTAAGATCATCTTAACTAAAAGAGAGAGTGTTCAATGTGATGCTCGCTCTACCATTTAAAAATCGTCTTTGTGCTATGATGCTTTCGGGAAACTGAGCCCTGATCTGTTAAACATATTTGGGAAACAAACTATTTGTGTACTTAGAAGAAGCGTTATTTCTGTACGGTAGCCTTTATAGGAATGTTTTATAAAGTATTTTCACCTCTGTATATTATTCCTTTAGCACAATCTTATAGTCCATAATACTTATCGCAAAATAAACAGTAGAAATTTTCAGAATTTACTGATTTTTTTTATTCTTATGGTTTCATAGAAATTTCTGTAGTATTACTGTAATACTGCTAGTGTTCGTTTTAATAAAAGCAGTAAATATGAAACATTGTTGGATTGTCACATATTATGGATCTACCCTTTCAATTTTATATTTTATATATATATATATATGTATGATTGATTTTCTGTAAAAAGATGTTTACAGCACCTCTGTAGAGGATGTGTTAACTTATCTTCACTTAGGAAAATAGCAACAACATGTCACTGGACCAGGGGTGCACAAACTTTTACACATGACTATGTTTATTTCTATTTATTCTAATGTTTGTGGTTTTATATGTATGGTGTCAAAAAGGTATATATATATATATTAATATATATATATTTATATATATACATATATACATATATATGTATTTAAATATGTATACATACACATATATATGGCCTAGCTAGACCTTAGTAACCACCTGGAATACCTCAGCGACCACTTAAGATACAACAGCAATACAAAATGTATGTATATACAGAACATTAAAGCTGTATTTTACTGCATTTACAATCATGATCAAAAGTTTGGGCACTCCTGGTCAAATGACCTTGTTGATTTTCAAGTATATATCATCTACAGAGAACACATTTCTACACATTTTAATGCAAAATTACTGTTTTTTTGGTGGAAGAAAACATGTAAAATGTGGCCTGTGTGAAAGATATGGCACATTTTATATTTTTCAGGTTAAGCTCAGGTAATTAATAGAAAATGTAGCACTAAGTCAATGGAACCACATTTTTTTTCCAAGTAATTTTGGGCTGTTTCTTTTGGTCCATTCATCATGAAATTTACACACAATGTAACCTTAGCAGCCACCTGGAATACTTCAGTAGCCACCTAGAAATACCTCAGTGACCACTTAAGATACCGCAGCAATACAAAATTCATATACAGAACATTCAAGCTTCATTTTACTGTATTTACAATCATAATCAATTTGGGCGCCCTGGTCAAAGGACCTTGTTGATTTTTTAAGCACATATCGTCTACAGAGAAAACATTTCTGCACATTTTAATGCACAAATACTGGTTTTTGGTGAAAAACAACAAAAAAGCATATAAAACGTGGCCTGTGTGAAAAATATGACACATTTTTTTTTTTATTTTTAGGTTAAGCTCAGCACTAAAATCAGCACAAAATATGTGTGCTCTGTAGAGGATGTGTTAATTTTTTTTTTCACTCAAAATCAATACGTCATTTGACCAGGGGTGCACAAACTTTTGCACAGGATTGTATGTTTGTTTGTATATATTGTAGTGTTATTTTAGTGCTTTTACCAGCAAAACTCTGCCCAGATGACCGACATTAAAGCATTTCTTGGGCTTTTTCACAGTCCTCTGTTTAAACGAGTGATGTTGCAGGGAATGATGTGTTAAACGTGTGAAACGTGTGAAGCGTGTTGCAGTCTGTTGTGTTGCGCTGCAGTGCTGTAGGGCAGAAGTGTGTTGTAATGTGTGCGCTGGTGACTAAATTCTGTTTGCTTTTCTTGTCAGGTGGTTCTTCAGAACCTGCTGATGTGCATGGTGTGCTTCTACTCTCTTTACTACATTGTGGTCAGTTTGTGCATCGGCATCCTGAAGTAAGACTTTCCACAATATTCTGATGTAGATCAGACTTCCTCTCTCTGTCAGCCTGTGCCTCTTCTGTGGTGGTTTAAAATTGACTTTGACTTCCTGTAGCGCGAGCTGTGCCTCTCAGAGCTACAGCGTTTTCGTGCTACAGATTTTGGCTGCGGTAAAACGTGACACGTTAGAGCAAAGAAAACATGCCCCTCAACACTTTCAGCCACAAAACGTGTCCAAAAGTTTGTGGACGCCAGCATTTCTTCTGAAATGAAGGGAGTTTGTTCTGCTTTGCTGCAGTATCGGCGTCTACTCTCCTGGGAGGGGTTTACAGTAGATCTTGGAACATGGCTGTGAGGATTTGATTGAGCATTAGTGAGGTCAGGTTCTGATGTTGGTCAGTTCAACTCATCCCAAAGGTATTGGATGGAGCTCCATCATTCCAGAGAACACAGCTCCACTGCTCCACAGTGCTGGGGGGCTTTATACCCCTCTAGCCCACAGAGGGCATTGATCATAGTGACCTTAGGCTCATGTGTCACAGCTCCCATCCTATTGGTCAAAGCTTTTCTATGGAGATTCTGCCGAAAATGCTGATGTTGCTCATAATGAATGAAAGCTAACAGAGGACTGGTGTGCACTATGCTAATGAGATCATGCAAACTGGCTCCATTAGCGTTCACTCATGGTTAGCCGCATTAGCATTCTTGGGTGAAGTGTACCATGAAATCAAATGTGTGTGCATTTGTGATTGTCCTATTCTAACAGTTTGTTTTCTTGATGTCAGTATTAATTTGTTCTTATTTATGGTGATTAACATACAGTATAAATGAGTGTTGCTAAAATCTGTGCATTATATCTGTAAAATATTCTTAAGTGTGTCAATTTTGCTTATACACCGATCAGGCATAACATTCTGACCACCTCCTTGTTTCTACACTCATTGTCCATTTTATCAGCTCCACTTACTATATAGGTGCACTTTGTAGTTCTACAGTTACAGACTGTAGTCCATCTGTTTCTCTGATACTTTGTTAGCCCCCTTTTACCCTGTTCTTCAGTGGTCAGGACCCCCATGGACCCTCACAGAGCAGGTACTATTTGGGTGGTGGATCATTCTCAGCACTGCAGTAACACTGACGTGGTGGTGGTGTGTTAGTTTGTGTTGCACTGGTGCGAGTGGATCAGACACAGCAGTGCTGCTGGAGATTTTAAACACTGTGTCCACTCACTGTCCACTCTATTAGACACTCCTACCTTGTCAGTCCACCTTGTAGATGTAAAGTCAGAGACGATAGCTCATCTGCTGCTGCACAGTTTGTGTTGGTCATCCTCTAGTCCTTCATCAGTGGTCACAGGATGCTGCCCACAGGACGCTGCCCACAGGAGGCTGTTGGCTGATGTTTTTGGTTGGTGGACTATTCTCAGTCCAGCAGTGACACTGAGGTGTTTAAAAACTCCAGCAGCACTGCTGTGTCTGATCCACTCAGACCAGCACAACACACCACCACCACATCAGTGTCACTGCAGTGCTGAGAATGATCCACCACCCAAATAGTACGTGCTCTGTGAGGGTCCATGGGGGTCCTGACCACTGAAGAACAGGGTAAAAGGGGGCTAACAAAGTATCAGAGAAACAGATGGACTACAGTCTGTAACTGTAGAACTACAAAGTGCACCTATATAGTAAGTGGAGCTGATAAAATGGACAATGAGTGTAGAAACAAGGAGGTGGTCATGATGTTATGCCTGATCTGTGTATAGTCTAATGCAAAAGTTTGAGCATCCTTGTTTATATTTCAAGTGAAAATAAGTTAACACATCCTCTCTGTTAGAAAGTTGAAACAGATCAGACGCTCGCAGATTAAAAAACAAGGTGGTCGTTTACTTAGAGGTTTAGGAGAGTTGCAAGGAGGGTGGTCGTAACAGTCCAAGGCCAAAACAAGAGAGCGTGATGACCAAAACCAAAGGGACGTCAGGAGAGTGAAAGCAGTTACTAGTCCAAGTTCAAAAACCAAGAATAATCAGAATAATCACAGCAAACAACACGAATCAGGGCAAACACAGAAAGCGTAGGTCAAAAAACGCGAAAAAGGTTTATGGTGTGTGAGTTCAGAATCCGGTGAGGATGAGTGTAGGAATTAATGTTCATTGGTGGATGGTGAAGCAATGGGAGTCACATGATCTTCCAGTGGCTCATGGGAGTTGGTGTCCTCTGCACAGGCCTTAGACTCAACTGATCCCACAGGAGAAAGGCAAAGGAGGCGTCCTCAGTGGGAGGTGTGACACTCACAGAGAACAAACTTAAATACTGAACAATTTGTAGTGAACAGTTTCCATTTATTTGCTGGCTTTAACATATTGGGAGAAAAAAAGGTGCCATAACTTTTGCACAGGGCAGTTTTTTCCCAAGAACTGGGTTCTCCGTGGTGGACGCGTTAACTTATTTTCACTTTGAAAATCAACCACAGCACGGAATTTGACCAAACCTTTTGCATACGACTCTATTTTGGTGTTTTGTTTATGTGTTTATGTATTTGTTTGTTTGTTTGTTTACCTTATCAGGGTAGAGGAGGTGGACAGTCTATTAGCTCCGTTTGACTACACCACACAGCCATCATGGCACAGCCCAAAATATCTAGGTAAGTTTTTTAGAAGAAACTGAATGTTTGTATTGCACTGTGTTATTATTCACATTAACAACCTGAAAAACCTGCTTGTTCTTCTGAACCAGCAAGAAATGATTCAAACACAGGGTGAGACTTAAACTGCTGGTCTTTCCTTTCACATCCTAATACATAAAATAAAATGGAAAAAAACAAACAAACTGATGCTGAATCAGCACATTACTTTTGAAATGTTACTTGGACGTAGATTCGGATTACGCTTGGACGATAATGTATATTTACCATGAACAAATTCAGTTATAAAGTATTTGGCACCCACTCTAATCCAGAGTGACATGCATTGTAAATCATGTTGCAGATGTTGGAGATGTGCTCCATTAGGCGTCTTGCCCAAGGACTCTCATTGGAATAACATGGCGTAGCTGCCCAGGCAGGAGATCAAGCCTTAGTCTAATCTAATCTCAGAGCCTTAAGACCCTTACAAACCAAAACAGACTTGAATAAACAACATCAAAATTTCAAATATTTCACATCAAAATGATAAAAATAGTAATCGAATTTCATTTATACATGGTTTTCAATATGCCCAGTGACACTGTACACAAAAGATTAACATAAAGATAAAAAATAAATAAATAAAAATGACAATGAGTCACAGAAATAAATAATTAGGTACACTCTTTAAAAAGATGGTTCTCTGAGGGTTCTTTAGTAAAGAAAATGGTTCTATATAGAACCATGAACACTCAAAGAACCCTTTGAAGGATTCTTTGCAGCATTTAAGTGTTTCTTCAGATTGATGGAGGATGTGCTGTAGATTTTATACAGAACCTATGTTTAAAGTGGTTCTATAGAGCACCCAAAAGGGTTCTTCTGTTGTTATGGTGTCAAGCTCTTTCTCTCACAGCTCAGTTCTCCGTGACTCAGTTTGAGCTCCACAGGAGACGAAGCACAGAACAAACAGACCGAATGTTTTCAAGCGCAGATCTAAGATCTTATTTGCTCTGCATAGAACAAGCAAATGTATAATGATAAATATGCTCTGCACATAACATTCAGTAGTTTGTTCCATGTTTTTTGTCAATTTTTCTGTGTTCTAGAGAGCAGATCTCATGTACTACGGTTTCTTTGTTTCACGTTTTTAAAATTTCCAGCATTCTTTGCCTGCAAATCTACATTATAGTCTCTTTTCTAATTAATTCAAACAAACAAAGACTGGGCTTTATTAGTAGATTATAATTAAGCACAGTCTTTTCTATTGTACATATTTTTGAACTATTCATAAAGTAGAATGACCGTACAGAGGAATTGAATGAATAAAGATGAAGCAATTAAAAAATCACGTGGCATTTGAAAGAGAATGATACATAATTGCTAATATAGTCATATCAGCGCTTGTTCAAAGGGCCCATTTTCTTCATCTTATTTTTCATCGTGGTGTCCATTCATAACATTTCCCCTGGAATGAAACACACTGTGCCTTTAAGACCGATATATGTAAATGAGCTCTGCTCTGATTGGCTGTGTGTCTTTCAAAAAACAGGCTGAAACACTCCTTATAACTTCAGCGTGAGTGGGCGGAGCTAAACTACTGCTGAAAATGTGAATGTATGGAAATGTGCTGGTTTCTTTAATATCACAGAAAGTGTGAATTTAAATCAGGTTGATTTTGCAGCTTAGTTTTCATATGGACTGTATGGACTGGGGAGAAAATGATGCTTTGAAACTTACATACTACTTTAAACTTGAGGAAGTTTGGTTTTGCATAATGTGGCCCTTTAAAATATTCCCATATTCATTCAAATCAATTACTGGTCTGAGGTTATGAAGGGTCTACCAGGTATTTCAGCTACAGCACAAAAACATGGACCTAAAACAGTGTGATCTGCATGATTTGCTGTTGCTTCTACTCCTAGAACAGCCTATCAGATTGACCAAAACACTTAAGTAGAGTGTAGACTGTAAAAGCACAGCCACCTCTGACTGTGTTGTATCAGTTCTGTGTTGTTTATAGAGCAGTTTTTAATGCTGGTCTCGTCAAATCTGATCTTCTGTGTGTTCGTCCTGCAGTGAGCGTGATCTCGACGGAGGTGACGTATGTCCTGGGTGGGCTCATCTTCGCCTGGATCGTGGAGGAGTGGGTGTGGGATTACGCCATCACTGTCACGCTGCTGCACGTCGGCCTCACCGTCGCAGGTAAACACCTTAAACCCCACTCGGGTGACCAAGAACTGAATAATACTGAATATACTGAATAATTTGTAGTAGATACTGAATAATTTATAGTATTTACTGAATAATTAATTGTAAGTACTGAATAATTTGCAGTAGTTATTGAATAATTTATAGTAGATACTGAGTAATTTATAGTTGTTTCTTGAATAATTCATAGTAAATACTTAATAATCTGCAGTAGTTATTGAATAATTCATTGTAGATACTGAATAATTTATAATAGATACTGAATAATTCATAGAAATTACTGAATAATTTATAGTAAATACTGAATAATTCATAGTAGATACTGAATAATTTATAGTAGTTACTGAATAATTCATAGTAAATACTGAATAATTCATAGTAGATACTGAATAATTTATAGTAGTTACTGAATAATTTATAGTATATACTGAATAATTCATAGTAGATACTGAATAATTTATAGTAGTTACTGAATAATTTAGATACTGAATTATTAATAGTAGATACTGAAAAAATTATAGCACATAATAAGTGATTAATAGTAGTTACTGTCTCAATTACAGTTTTTATTGAATGTTTTACAGTGGATACTTAATAATTTAAAGGTGTTAATAGATAATTCATAGTAGTTACTCATCATTCAGGGTACTTACTAATTAATATATATTTGACTGAATATTAAATGTATAATGTAAAGTAAATACTGAATAGTAATTTCATTGTATTTCACAAAAAAAATGAATAAAAAAGAAAATGTGAGCAGAGAAAATATCCCTTTACTTTAAAGAGTTCCTGATTGAACAGTGAAGTCACGGCAACAGCTGCTTTTTTTAAACTCTGCTGCAGTTTCCAAGGTTTCTGTGCAGCCTGATGAACCATAATAAAGTCATATAAATACCGCCTGACAGTGATGTGATAGAAATAAACTACAAACTAACTAAGCTGAACCATCTTCAGGGTCAGGTCACATATTCATGTGGCAGTTTCATGAATAATTACATTTACAGAATTCACTCCTTACTCTAAATGTACCTGCTCAGGATGTGAAGTGTGCTTGTTCAGCTTTAGCACTGACGCTATGAGGCTAATGAAACTGATGAGTAATGGAAGCTCGTGCTATAATTAGCTTTGTGCTAACTGCATATACACATGATTCTGTGGTTTCTGGCACGGTAGTCAAGCCAAGTCAAGTCTACTCAAGTTGTCTTCATCATTCCTCAGTATAATTTGTATGCATTGGAACAAAATGTGGTTCTTCAGGCCCCAAACACACAACAGCAGCTCATTATACCGAACTACACGGAGTGCAGATAGGCCACAGTGTGAAATGACTGCAGAATATACAATAAATACACCAGACAATAAATATACAGAACAATAAATACACAATAAATACTAGACTGGACAACAAAACAGTATATGTGACTGGGCATCATATATATGTACAGCCTCAATTCTAAAAAAGGTGGGATGCTGTGTAAAATGTAAATAATTGTAAATAAAAACAGAATGCAATGATTTGCAAATCTCATAGACCCATATTTTATTCACAATAGAACATAGAACACATATCAGATGCTGAAAGTGAGACATTTTACCATTTCATGAAAAACATTAACTCATTTAGGACTTGATGGCAGCAACACGTCTCAAAAAAGTTGGGACAGGGGCAACAGAAGGCTGGAAAAGTAAGTGGTACGAATAAAAAACAGCTGGAGGAGCAATTTGCAAATAACTCACATGACTGGGTATAACAAGGAGTCTTTCAGAAGCAAAGATGGGCAGAGGTTCACCAACCTGTGAAAAAGCGTCTAAAAATTGTGGAACAATTTTAGAAAAATGTTCCTCAAACTTAAAATTGCGAAGAGTTTGGATATCCCACCATCTACAGTACATAATATCACCAAAAAATTCAGAGAATCTGGAGAAATCCCTGTACGCAAGGGACAAGGCCGACTGTCAATGTTGGATGCTTGTGATTTTCGGGTCCTGCATTAAAAACAGATTTGATTCTGTACTGGAAATCACTGCATGGGCTCAGGATCACTTCCAGAAATCACTGTCTGTGAACACAATTCGCCGTGCAATCCACAAATGCAAGGTAAAGCTGTATCATACAAAGAAGAAGCCATAAGTCAGCACAATCCAGAAATGCTGCTGTCTTTTTTGGGCTGAAGCTCATTTAAAATGGACTGAGGCAAAATGGGAAACTGTTCTGTGGTCAGATGAATCAAAATTTGAAATGCCTTTTGGAAACCATGGACGCCATGTCCTGCGGACTCAAGAGAAGAGGGACCATCCAGCTCGTTATCAGCGTACAGTTCAAAAGCCTGCATCTCTGATGGTCTGGGGTTGCATTAGTGCCTATGGTGTGGGCAGTTTACACATCTGGAAAGGCTCTATCAACACTGAACAGTATATAGAGGTTTTAGAACAACATGTGTTCCCATCCAGACAGCGTCTCTTTCAGGGAAGGCCTTGCATATTTCAGCAAGACAATAAACCACATACTGCATCCATCACAACAGCATGCCTTCGCAGAAGAAGAGTCCGGTTGCTGAACTGGCCGCCTGCAGTCCAGACCTTTCACCAATAAAAACATTTGGTGCATCATGACACGAAAAATCTGGCAAAGAAGACCCAAAGAAGACCCAGAACTGTTGAGCAGCTAGAATCCTACATCAGACAAGAATGGGACAACATTCCTCTCCCAGAACTCCAGAAATTGGTCTCCTCATTTCCCAGACGTTTACAGGCTGTTGTTAAGAGAAGAGGGGATGCTCCACAGTGGTAGACGCGGCCCTGTCCCAACTTTTTTGAGATGCATTGCTGCCATCAAGTTCTAAATGAGTTAATGTTTTTCATGAAATGGTAAAATTTCTCACTTTCAGCATCTGATATGTGTTCTATGTTCTATTGTGAATAAAATATGGTTCTATGAGATTTACAAATCATTGCATTCTGTTTTTATTTACATTTATTTACATTTTACACAGCCTCCCAACTTTTTTGGAACTGGGGTTGTATGCTTAAAGAGTCTTATTAGTCCAGGTGTATGTTTAAAGAGTCTTATTAGTCCAGGTGCATGTTTTTAGGGGTCTAGATTAGTCCAGGTGTATGTTTAAAGAGTCTTATTAGTCCAGGTGTATGTTTAAAGAGTCTTATTAGTCCAGGTGCATGTTTTTAGGGGTCTAGATTAGTCCAGGTGTATGTTTAAAGAGTCTTATTAGTCCAGGTGTATGTTTTAAGGGGTCTAGATTAGTCCAGGTGTATGTTTTAAAGGGTCTAGATTAGTCCAGGTGTATGTTTTAAGGGGTCTAATTAGTCCAGGTATATGTTTTAAGGGGTCTAGATTAGTCCAGGTGTATGTTTTAAAGGGTCTAATTAGTCCAAGTGCATGTTTTAAAGGGTCTAGATTAGTCCAGGTGTATGTTTTAAGGGGTCTAGATTAGTCCAGGTGTATGTTTTAAAGTGTCTAGATTAGTCCAGGTGTATGTTTTAAAGGGTCTAGATTAGTCCAGATGTATATTTTAAAGTGTCTAGATGTATGTTAAAAGTGTCTTATTAGTCCAGGTGCATGTTTTTAGAGTTCTAGGTTAGTCCAGGTGTATGTTTTAAAGAGTCTAATTAGTCCAGGTGTATGTTTTAAAGAGTCTAATTAGTCCAGGTGTATATTTTAAAGAGTCTTATTAGTCCAGTTGTATATTTTAAAGAGTCTAATTAGTCCAGGTGTATGTTTTAAAGAATCTAGGTTAGTCCAGGTGTATGTTTTAAAGGGTCTAGATTAGTCCAGGTGTATGTTAAAAGAGTCTTATTAGTCCAGGTGCATGTTTTTAGGGTTCTAGATTAGTCCAGGTGTATGTTTTAAAGAGTCTAGATTAGTCCAGGTGTACGTTAAAAGAGTCTTATTAGTCCAGGTGCATGTTTTTAGGGTTCTAGATTAGTCCAGGTGTATGTTTTAAAGAGTCTAGATTAGTCCAGGTGTATGTTTTAAAGAGTCTTATTAGTCCAGGTGTATATTTCAAACAGTCTAATTAGTCCAGGTGTATGTTTTAAAGAGCCTAGATTAGTCCAGGTGTATGTTTTAAAGGGTCTAGATTAGTCCAGTTGTATGTTAAAAGAGTCTTATTAGTCCAGGTGCATGTTTTTAGGGTTCTAGATTAGTCCAGGTGTATGTTTTAAAGAGTCTTATTAGTCCAAGTGTATATTTTAAAGGGTCTTATTAGTCCAGGTGTATGTTTTAAAGAGTCTTATTAGTCCAGGTGTATATTTTAAAGGGTCTAGATTAGTCCAGGTGTATATTTTAAAGGGTCTAGATTAGTCCAGGTGTATGTTTTAAAGAGTCTTATTAGTCCAGGTGTATATTTTAAAGGGTCTAGATTAGTCCAGGTATATGTTTTAAAGAGTCTTATTAATCTAGGTGTATGTTTTAAGGAGTCTAATTAGTCCAGATGTATGTTTTAAGGGGTCTAATTAGTTCAGATGTATGTTTTAAAGGGTCTAGATTAGTCCAGGTGTATGTTTTAAAGAGTCTAGATTAGTCCAGGTGTATATTTTAAAGAGCTCTGCTGTAGGGTCCTGCGGTCTGAGACAGTGTAGTATCTAAGCCAGACAGTGAGACAGCTGGTCAGGACGCTCTCTACTGCCCCCTATACTGTCTGACATACTGCTGTCTATAAGATGGATGGCAGTATCTCATAGAGCTGAAAACAGTAGCAGCGCCTGCTACTCAGCCCTGAATTTTGTCTGCTGTGGTGACCGTGGTGGTCCCTCCTGCTGAGCTGGTCCACCTGGCGGTTCTACTGGCTGATATTAGACATGTGCAGTGTTGCCAGATTGGGCGGGTTCCCACCCAATCCAACCAAAATCTGTCCTAAAGCATGCTCAGGGGTGGACATAATTTGAGCTGTTCTGTCTTTATTTTTGTGTTTTTTTGAAAAGTATAAAAATAATAAACTGCATTACTTAATTATGAACAGGCCCAACTTCTCCCAAACCCAGTCAGTTGGCTCTTTGAGTGTTCAAGGTTCTATATAGAACCACTATCTTTACTAAAGAACCCTTGAAGAACCATCGTTTATAAGAGTCTGCCTTTTGGAGTATTTTCTCCAGCATGGATATTTATTTTTGCACCCATCCTCGTCTGAATTTGTATCAATATTCATAACTGTTTGAAATACAGCGCTTGAACAGTCCCCGTCTCTATTGTGTAACAGCCATTCGAATACATTACTGTCGCCCACGTTTCCCAGTTTGCCTGGAGTCTTGATGGAGTCCTCTGCTGTGTCTCACAGTGATTCCAATGTAATAACACCCGCACGGCTGTGTTTGAGTAGTGCATAGTGAATTAGACTGGTGAAAACAAAGGGACGGTGCCTACAATCCAGTTAGTGAGCGGATGGCGGTTTGATTCAGGTTACCAGTGACTGGTTATTACAGAATCACTCAGTCTGAGGCTTTTCTTATGAAGGGAGCTCAAAAACACTGCTTCACTGTTTCGATACAGCGTCGTGGTGCAATATTAGTGGGCTTTAATGGTTCAACGTGTTTTATAATTGATTGTTATCTAGATGCAAACTGTAGACTGACCCCCAAAGAGGGCAGATTAGTGCAATCAAAAACATACTTCTGTTTAGGGACGTGCTTGGCTATTTAGCTAGCCTGATCTATTTTGGTGTGTTTCTAACGTTTTCCACCAGGACAAACATGTACAGTCCTGTGCGAAAGTCAGACACCACGCTTCATCCCTTAATACGCTTAATTTTCAGTCAAAACAGCCTTACAGTACATGTTATTCAGGGTCAGGAGAAAAAAAACATATATTGAACAGAAAATTATTAATAGTAAATATAAAATGAGATGTTTCACTGTTTAGTGAGTCTCTCTTCACCTTTATTACAGCTGCCATTCTTTTCAGGAGACTCACTTTCAGCTCCTCAAAGAATCTGCAGACACACCTCCAAAGTCTTAGAAGCTGGTTGATCATTTTCTGAAGTAATCAAACACATTCAGTGACTGAATAATTTATAGTAGTTAATGAATTATTAATAGTAGAAACTGAATGAGTTTCAGTAGTTACTGAATAATTCATATTAGTTACTGAGTAATTTATAGTAGATAAGAAATAATTTTGAGTAGTTACTGATTAATAGTAGATACTGAATAATTTATAGTAGATACTAAATAATTGATAGCAGACACTAAATAAGTTCGGTAGTTACAGAAAATTCATGTTAGTTATTGAATAGTTTATTATAGAAGCTGATTATTTTTAGTAGTCACTGAATAGTTTATAGCAGATACTGAATAATTCATAGTAGTTATTGATTTAGTTTATTGTAGAAACTGAATAATTTAGTAGTTACTGCATAGTTTATCATAGTTACTGAATAATTCATAGTAGATACTGAATAATTTATCATAGTTACTGAATAATTCATAGTAGATACTGAATAATTTATCATAGTTACTGAATAATTCATAGTAGATACTGAATAATTTATAGCAGATACTGAATAATTTATAGTAGTTACTGAATAATTTATAGTAGTTACTGAATAATTCATAATAGATACTGAATAATTTATAGTAGTTACTGAATACTTCATAGTTACTGAATAATTCACAGGAGACACTGAATAACTTTAGGAACATAAAGAGTCGTCCACCCTTGGTCAGTGGTCAGTGGTGAGAGGGTAAAGGCTAGCCGCTGCAGGTGTGTCCATGGAGAGCGGTGAGTGAATATTACAGGTCTGACTGTTGATCTGATTGTGCTTTTCTTCTTCTGTGTTTCAGTCATGGCTGACTTCCCTTCAACAGAGCACTGGTGGATCGCTCTGGGTAAGAGCAGCGTTTCACCCATACAACATGAAAGCTAGTAGCCATCAGTTAGCCTGGCTGAGCTGGCCTTTAGCATGATGCTAATAGGTGCTTATGAGCACTGATCCATCATTAACAATGCTAGTCATGCTAGCAGGACTCCTGATGATACCACAGACATCCTAGCTGTCCAATGATGTTGCGCTAGCAGCAGGTTAAAAGATGAAGCTCGTGCTAGCCTTCACCCTCCCAGCCTGGTAGCACTGTGGAGCCTGAAATAATCGTTTAAAAGTCATAGGCGTCACCCAACATTGTACGTCTTTACATATTAACGTACTGACAGGTCCGGCTTGATGTTTAAGTATCAAATGATTTCAAAATCAACATTATACTGATGAGGACATGATGATAGTAGTAGATAATTCACTCACATCCTCAGAAGACTGAGTTCTCTTTGAATTCTTTCAGTCATCAGATTCATCCGCAGATTCGTCAAGTAGGCCGAAGTACGACCCATGTTACTAAATGTTCTTCCGCACATGGCATGCAATTACACATTTCCACCAGAGAGGTCTCCAAATCCCCAAAACTTACATGATGTAGCTTTAAGAGATGTGGGGAAATCGCAGTTGATTATGTTTCTTGCAGTGTTATATAAACACTATATATATATATATATATATATATATATATATATATATATATATATATATATACTTCACTGTAGTGTTATATACAGTACTACTACATGCACTATAATATATGCTACGAAAATGAATGAATGGACATAAAATTAATATATATATATTCACTGCTTTCGGAAAAAACCTTGTATCTCCATTTTTGTCATTTTTCAGTTTAAAATGCCTGTTGCTCTTTACATTGTGTGTAAATTTCTTGATGAATGGACCAAAAGAAACGACCCAAAATGACTTTGGAAAAAAGTCTGGTTCCATTGACTTACATTAAAAGTAAAGTAGGTTTTTTCCTTCTCCTGTAAAGTTACCATTTTGGAGATACGAGGTTTTCTTCCGACAACAGCGATATGTTATGTAAATATTTGTTCAAACCCCTCCTACATTACAATAAATACCAATACAGAAAAAAATCTCATGTTTTACCACATGTTGATTTGTATTTTTGTATACATTTGTGTACATTTGTCCGATAATTAAATAACATTATAAATACATAGAAACTGTTCTCTAGCAATAAAACAAACCTGCTGCCTGCTGGAGTTTATAGTTCTGATCTCACTGTCCTTCAAACAGATCTAAGCACAGTTCTTTTTGGCTCTGCAGGCGTTAATTTCGTACAGCTAATTTTACAGTGTAACCCAGAGCGCACTGCAGCAGCTGGAATTCACCCAAACTCCTGTTCGTTTGCAGGTTCAGGCCTGGCCATGATGATCTTTGGCGGGCAGCTGCTGGCGTATCGACTTTTCAGGAATAATTTTGTGCATCCTGAAGATCTCCAAAACTTCTGACACACTGAGGATTCTGTACAGTCATGAACATGTTTTTATTTTATATACTTTATTGTTGTTGTTTCTACAGAATGTAGCACTATTTTTCTTACTCAAACATTATTGATCATAATTAAAGTGTTCCTGCAAGCTAACATGAGTTGCATGGTCAGTATACAGGTGTGTATGTGGTTTTGTGTCTGTTCAGAGACGGCAAGCAAGTGCTATAAAAATAAACAATAGTATTAAAGTAGGTTTTACTGGCATTGACTGATTAAGTTGCTTTTAAATCAGTCTGTATCACAACAGCCTTAGAGAAAGACAGACACACGCAAACTCTTAATCATAGACATGTTTATGGTAGGTTTGCTGGGTGAATTACATTAACCCTGAGGACATGGAGACCCCAGTTTGCTTCAGAACGGTTTAAGATACAAACGTGATCCACATATCAGGACATTCAGCAGACCCACCCCTAACTAGCAAGCATGACGTCATCGAGCTGTGATGTCAGCATCAGTGAGTAATTCGGTTTGGAAAATCAAATAAAATCCTGATGTTATTGCTCTGCTGTTTGGCCTTCATATTCCAACAAAGGGTTAAAACAGCGACATGATTCACACATCAGATCACTCATCAGACTCTGCCTCACCATCCAGAGTGATTTCATCCACCTGTGACCGTCCATCAGCCAGAGATCAGCTCCAAAATCACCCACAACCCCACTCACTACTGTTATACTACATCTCTGCTTTTAGCCTTCATATTATAAACAAAGGGCTTTCAGTTTACTTTGATTTTGAGTATTAAAAATATCTGATATTAAGTTTGCAACTCAATTTGTGATTAAAAATAAAGCCTGTCTTGCTGTGTATCAGAGTTTTAGGACTCAGCCTGAATCCAAGAGGACAGAAAACAATAAAAAACATGGCCACCTTATGCTAATTGTTTATTTTTTACTAATAATAACTAATACATTATTGAATAAATAATTGAATCACCATTAAAATTATTGCACTTTCAGCTCACAGACACTCCAGACTAACAATTTCTGAAAAGATAACTACAACTGCACTTGTTATCAAGATCTCTATAATTAGGAAAATACACAATTTAGCAGCCGCTAGGTACATTTTGATCAGAAATGACCCAAATTCATAAAGATATCACATTTCTGTCAGCATTTACATTTCAAACAATGCATATCTGAGCAGCCCAGGGTCTCATGAAAATAGCAACATATGGCATGTGTGACTGTCGCATGTAAATACTTTATAATTCCAATTGTAATTGAAACAAAAAAAAACCAAAAAAATCCCGAAATCTTAGGTTTCTAAGGGTTCAGCCAGCTGTAGAAGCTAGAGATTGTAAGTTGGTGTTATTACTGGTAATAAACTATTGATATTTTAATGGCGTCACCGAACAATACATTACATTTCTCTCTTTCTAGTCTCACAAATGCAGGGACGAATTTATTTGACGGGAGTAATTTGTCATTTGTGCTTCGTTGTTGTGGTGAGAAGGTGAGATCTACAGTCGAGTCCATAAATATTTAAACCTTAAAAAAGTTATTATTCTTATCTGTCTATCACAGCGCACAGGAGATGAAATGAAACAATGAACGTGAGCTCAGAGTGCAGACTTTCATCTTTCATTTGAGCCTATTTATGTCCAAATTGGGTGAACGATGTAGGAATTACAGCCATTTTCATACAGAGACCCCAGGGGCTCAAAAGAGAAACTAACAACCACAAATTAAATTGTCATTTTTAATATTTGCTTGCAAATCCTTCGCCGTCAATGACTGCCTGAAGTCTGGACCCACAGACATCACCAGAGTCTGGGCTCCTTCCCTGGTGATGCATTGTCTTCAGTTCCTGCTTGTTCTTGGGGGCGTTTTACCTTCAGCTTTGCCTTCGGTGAGTCAAAGGCATGCTTGATTGAACTGAGGTCAGGTGAGTTGGTCATTGCAGAACAACACTTTGTTGTTGATTTTAGGTTCCTTTCACACTCTGCTTCAGGTCATTGTCCATCAATCAAGGGAACCAGTTATATGTATACACCAATCAGGCATAACATCATGACCACCTCCTTGTTTCTACCCTCATTGTCCATTTTATCAGCTCCACTTACTATATAGGTGCACTTTGTAGTTCTACAGTTACAGACTGTAGTCCATCTGTTTCTCTGATACTTTGTTAGCCCCCTTTTACCCTGTTCTTCAGTGGTCAGGACCCCCAAAGGACCCTCACAGAGCAGGTACTATTTGGGTGGTGGATCATTCTCAGCACTGCAGTAACACTGACGTGGTGGTGGTGTGTTAGTGTGTGTTGTGCTGGTACGAGTGGATCAGACACAGCAGTGCTGCTGGAGTTTTTAAACACTGTGTCCACTCACTGTCCACTCTATTAGACACTCCTACCTTGTCAGTCCACCTTGTAGATGTAAAGTCAGAGACGATAGCTCATCTGCTGCAGCACAGTTTGTGTTGGTCATCCTCTAGTCCTTCATCAGTGGTCACAGGACGCTGCCCACAGGACGCTGTTGGCTGGATGTTTTTGGTTGGTGGACTATTTTCAGTCCAGCAGTGACACTGAGATGAAAACTCCAGCAGCACTGCTGTGTCTGATCCACTCGTACCAGCACAACACACATTAACACACCACCACCACGTCAGTGTTACTGCAGTGCTGAGAATGACCCACCACCCTGATAATGACAATGTAATAATACTTTTACAGATTGTGTAATACCTCATTAGATCATTTGGGAATTTATTACATTTTCAGGCTGACCATATGCAATGTCTTGGAAATATGTATATATTTAAGTATATATATATATATATATATATCTATATATATATATGATTATTATATATATATATATATGTTTTGTAAGCAAGAGGGCTAACAGTGGTACCACCTATTCTTCTCAATAACGTGATAAGATATTAAGGTATTAAACGTAATTGTTAAATTATCAGTTAAAATGTATTATATTACTGGAAAAGTCACTACATTGTTGGGTTTTATTACATTTTAGACCAAGTTAAATGTAAAATGATGTTACATTTCTGGCTTTTATTAAATTATTAGGTAATTATTACATTTTTGGCTTCTATAAGCATCAAACTTCAAATAAACTCTCTTGCATTAAAGGCAAAATAAAATCCTAATTAAAAAATGAAGCCAAGCTGATCTGAAGACACTGTCCATCCAAGCACTAAAGCTTTTACTGTCCTGACCGTCAGTTAAAGAGAGGAGCAGCCTGACTGGTCGAGACAGTGTGGAGCGCAGTCTGGCCTAATCCTGAGCATCTGCTGTCCTTTAATCTGGCCGGATTAAGATCAGTTGGTATTACCTCCTCCTGAATTGTTTTGGTTTGACTGACTCATGCATTGAGAAAGTGTGTCTGACCCTTTTACCCAGCATGCATCTCTAAAGCTGCTCTACCACGATGGCTATTGTGAAAAAAAAAAACACTATGCAAATTGAATGTAACTAAAAAAGAGTTAAACCTTTTTAACTGGTTGTGCATGTGCTACATGAACACCTGCTGGAGAAACAGTCTTTAAGAGAATTATCACTCATGAGTGCCAAGTCAAAGCTTTTTGTGTTCATTCGGCAACACCTGCATCACTTAAAGGGGAATTCCACCAATTTTTCCACATTTCTGCATAATTACATTATTATTTATTAGGAACCAGACGTCCACCTCTAAAAGCTCCCTCACAGAAAGGTATCAAAGTTATGAATTCACTGCCTGATGACTGAGACACTGTTTTACGATAGTTTTGAGAAGATTTCAGCCTTAAAGTCCTTTTATGGTGGAGGGATACGTAACATGCAGTGAGGCAAAATAGTCCCCAACAAAAATGTATTTTTTCATATTTATCTCTATTTTCCATCATCAACATTCATTGTATAAACTCAGAAGACTCGTGTAGGTTCACTGGTGGTTCTGGATAGTAAATAAAATGTCTATATTTGTGTTGTAGCCATGGCGACACCTGGTTCCTATCACCACCACTGTAAATTGAAAATTTGCAAAATTTGGTGGACTTCCCCTTCGAAGCCGAATGAGAATGATATCAAGAGCACAAACTGCACGTAACAGATTAAATGTAATCAATCAACACATTTTGTGTCTGAGGTTTGCTTCTTTAGTTTTAGCACTGGAGCTACGAGGCTAATGTGGCTAACAAGTAATGTAATCTTATACCCCACCAGTTAGCATAGTGTCGAAATCATCACACACTCACCTCAAACCGTGTGGATTTCTTAAGTGATCTCTAACAGACTTACGTGGTTTCTGGCACTGTATAGCACGCAGTGCTAATTGGTGGGGTATGTGCTTCCATTGCTTGTTAGCTACATTAGCCTCATAGCTGCAGCAAATAAAGCTAAAGAAGCAAACTTAAGTCACCAAACATGTCTTAGCCTGTCGACTAAATTTGGGGTAAGGCTGGTGGGGGGGGTTGATGTTCGTCTGAACTCTCGCTTTAATAGCTCAGACAGCTTTGGTCTCATTTGCATTGAGGCAGCAGTGAGAATCAGTAAAACAGTGATACAGTCCATGCAAAGCTCTGTAATTTTAACCGCCTCAAACAAACGTGTCCACTATAATTTGTTTTCTGAAAATAGCCGATTTGTTTTGATCATATCCAATTAAAAAACGAGTCCAAACTTTTCCAAAGCTCCGGCGCTGGCTCAGGCTGCGGCTTGCGTGCCGGCGTGAAAGGCCTTATTGTTTTATTAATCGTATAATGAGATTAAGACTGTGGCTGCGGGGGGAAGGGGCGTGGCCAGTGCCAAGGGGTGTGTCCTGAGGGAGAGAGAGAGAGAGAGAGAGAGAGAGAGAGAGAGAGAGAAAGAGAGAGAGAGAGAGGTCCCTGAACTGGTGAACTGCTTCATTAGCCAGACAGATCGTCATGGTTACCAAACTCGTTTGCTACCTGCAGCTCAGGTAAGACTGCCTGCGGTGCCTGTGTTGTGTGTGGAATAAGCCAGATTATACAT